CCAACTGGCGCGCGCTTGTAAGGCCTTCCCCGCGTGTTCGGCGCGGGACCCCACGAGCGCTCTCCCCCATGATGCATGCTATCCAAAGCAAGAATTACAGGCGGCAGTATCTTCGTCTAGGGACCTCCCCCAACTTTCCATTAAAAATCTCGTCCAAGCTGCTTTTCTGGAATTAGGAAAACGCCCCAAAAATCGGCCTTTTCAGCCCGTTCAAAGCTCAAATTCGGATTCTACGTGGCGAAAAGGCCTAAAACATGCAAAAAGGTGGGCCAGACAGTTTCTAACAATCAAACAGCATGCACATTTTTGAGGCATTTTGTACATAAGAGAAACGTTTGCGGACCCTGAAGGTGAGTTGAGTGGGCCAGGCACAAAGACAGCTTTGGCAGCTTGATTTTTTGGAGTATTGTGCCCGATCATAAGCTTTGTGCCGAAGAAGTTTTTTTCATCCAAGTTTATGTCATTCGTGCTCATGCAATGATCGTGAACATCGTGAACAGTTCGATGGTTGGAATTGAGCACTTCTATATCCACAGTTTTAAAGCGACTGAAACCTAAAATGCTCCCAGCATAGATTAGTAGAAGGTTCAATTAGTTTTGAGCAAAAAGGTTGACTTTTATCTTGGAAAGTTAACATTGACGTGAGCGGTAGGTGTACAATAACGGAAGAAAGGCCTTGAATTTGTTGAAACTTCTCAAATCACGCAAACTTCCCGAGGGGCAAGCTAATTTGCCAAACTTCCCGAGGGGCAAGCTAATTTGCCAAACTTCCCGAGGGTTTCCTAGCACGTAAGTGAACGGAGCCGTAAAAATGAAACTTCCCGCAAGTTTGACGTCTAAAGCAACACAGTTAGGAACTTCCCAATGAAGTCCTCGGAAAGTTCTGCAAAATGCAGAACTTCCGGAGGACTTAAATTTGAGGGGACTTCCGCAGAGCTGCTTGGCAAGTTAGCAAAACAGTTCTGTTTTGCATGTTTTGCAAGCAACACTATCTGAGAGCATCATAATGATAAGCATAAAGTTTGATAAGCTCTGAAGCTTAAGGCGCTTCATATCTATCTATCGTCGTTTATAGGATAGGAAACCGTTTCAGTGTCGATACCTATCTGCTTCCTATTCTATCGATGTCTTAGTTCAGTAATTACCTTTCTGGGAAACGCTCATTGATTAGCGCAAGGTTAGCCTATAGCATTTATAGCATTATAAGCTTAGCTTATAGCGACAAACCAAACACAAGAAATATACATATATACTAGGTTGATGCAAAAATAATGGCCGTTCTGCGAATTCCCACTTTAACATACTAGAGCTTTTTTCCATCAGAAGCAGCAAATCTTTTGCAGTACATACATTTACCTGCACCAATATCATAAAAGGGCAAAAAAAATACGGATTGTAAAACAAAAAAGGTTTTTTTGGGACCTCGTCTTTGACGAATTATAACTTTCTTCAAAGTTTGTTAGTATGAATGGTAAGTAGCCCATCTTGTAGCCGCTAGCCAATATCACAGAACGCGATAAAAATGGTTTGGAGAAAAAAGTTTGCGAAAAGGAAAAAGATTAAGAGTGAAATTGTCAGTTTTTCAAACGTTTGACAATAATTTGATCTATCAGGACCTGTCCAGATTAGTGCACAGCGCTGAGCGTTCTAGGCTTGAAACGAGCTTGTTTGATAACATCGAAAGCATTCGTTTCTTCTCAGGTAAATCAGGTCTTTAGAATTTATTTTGGATGCGCTTGATCTCGGCAACGAGGAATTGCAGGCATACAGATTAGATGCGGTAAAAAGTTCGCAGAGTAGGTGCATTGATGTTTCCGAAGCAAACCTACTCAAATAATTCCAGGTTTTGGATATCCTTGGGCAAATCCGAGGAAGAACGCGAAAAGAGATTCGATTTTCTGCTGAAGCTAAAAACCGTTTACTACTCCCAAAACAGGATCTGCATCGCAGAAGCACTGTAAATTTTCGAGCAACATTGATTTTTGCCTCTAGATTCAGTTTTGCAGCATTCGTGCCACCAAAAGGTATCGTCGGCTCCCCGGTGTACGTTGGGCGGAACATTTGCAGACAGAACACGTTGATGAACTTGCTAACCCTCTATTGCAAGGCATTATTTTACGTAATCTCTCGCTACCGCACGTCATCTCGCTGCCTTTCGCCCTTTTGAACGTGTTAACCTCGGGCAGTTCCGTTGGAATCTCACAAGCGAATGGTCAGAAGTCGAAGTGGCCAAACCAAACAAGCTGTATATCATTCGATGCAGTATAAACGCTGACTTCGAATCTGTCTTCCATATCTGCTTATCGCTTCTGTGGACGAAGATACAAGCGGTTTTACTGAGAAAAAATCATACATAGAAACAGCGAAATTGAGCACATTGTTACACCTTTAGCTCGGCTTCTGGCTTTAAAAATTTGAAGTAAGCTAGTTTTATTAAGCTGCATGTTTTGTCCCAGCATTAAGGCGAACGTGGTTTTGTACGGCTAATTTTCAACTTTACGCATAATTTCTTAGCAAAATAATGGTCTTCAATGGCTTATAGCTTCGTCCAGAAAAGCGATAAACAGGTATGGAAGACAGATTTAGAATCAGCGATTCATGCTGCATCTAATGGTATGCTGCTTACCTGGATTGACCACTTCGAATTCTGACCATTCCCTTGTCAGGAGAAACGTGTCAAAAAGAGGGAAAGGCAGCGTCGCACCATGTATATACGCACGCTGGTTCACTTGGGAACTTTTCTGGGCACACAGTACGTGGCAGCTTAGAGAGTACGAAGAACCATACTTTGCAGTAGAATTTTGACAAGTCAACTACGCGTTTAGATGTCTGCAAATGCTCCGCCCAACGTACACCGGGGAGGCGACGATATAAACTTGGTTTAGGCATTTTATATCACGCATTTACAATTTTTCCAGACATATAAAACGATTTCACAGGTTGGCTTCGGTACAAAGCACGCATGACGAATTCGGAATGGAGAAGCCAAGCGCTGCACATGAGGGAGATTTGATCTTGCAGTCTTACACGTCCATCCCATCACTACCATTCTTTCCTGATGCCATATCACATCATACTTCTTCCCATCCTCACTATTCTTGCGTCCGCCTACGTCAGTACATGATAATACATATCTTAGTATGGTACTCTATCCGCGTCATTCAGGTACTGTTGTAATTTAGTTTTGGAAACATGTTAAGAAATATTCTTACTGCCTTTCGTCAATATACTCTATATCTGGTGCTCTAACAAAAAATAATGTAGGGTAGCTGTGTTCTGTATATTTTTAACCTGAGTAGCTGAAGTAAGGGTACGGCTCGAAAGAAGCGCGATTTATTGTCAGAGATTCTGTATAGCTACGCAAGGTCCGTACGGCTCGAAAAGAGCAGGATTTATTAGAGGTTCTGTATAGCTACGCAAACCGTAGGCTCGAAAGAAGCAGGATTTATTGTTAGAGGTTCTACATAGCTACATACGCAAAGGTCCATCTAAAGACCTCGGTTCCGTAATTGGAGTCCTCGGAAAGCTTCTGTTTTTGGGGAAGTTCCCGAGAGCTTTTGCAGAACTTTCCGAGTGCTTGGGAACTTTCCGAGGTGACCTGCACTAAGTTCCCCCACAGCCCTCGCAAAGTTCCCGTAAATTGTCTGAGTATGTTAAAACGTATTTACCATTAATAAGAACTAATGTATGAAAAATATCTGAGAGTGAAAGATTGGTTAAAAAGGCCAGGATTCATAAAACTACCCAGCTTTCAGTGCAGACTTTGAAATTTTCTATTTTTCTTATTTGAAATCAACGATATTGGAAGCCCTCTTAAGAAATAAAGTTTGACCAAAATGTGCACGATATAGCAAAACTTCAAATAAATTCCACGAGAACGCAAGATACGGTGGTTTTTGCAGTGTTTTTGATAGTGTCCAGCACTGCAGGAAGTCAATATCTTTTCTGTGTACCATCGATATCAATTCGCATTGGTCTTTTCCGCGCCGCACGGGTCTAGTGCGCACGCTAACGCCCATCACGACGTGGCGGGCGTCCATTCCTGGCGCTTTGCCGGCCATCATCAGCTGATTTCGCGGGCAACCAGATTATATTTGTTGCTATTTCTTTATTATTTTCGCTTCTCTTTTCAGGATTTCCGCAAAAGCGATGGGCGACCCTAATCAGACAGAGGTATATGTCGTTTTTTCAATAACACCTAAGAGTCAATATTCTATCGCCTAGTGTTTTGCTGCGACTTATTCTGGATGTTTTTCTTGCTCTTTTTCGTTTTCAAGCATCATCAGCTGATTTCGCTTGATTGAAGTTTCGATCGTTACCAAAAAAACAAAGTGGTTTTAGCTTTTACACGAAGTCCGAAAGTAGACCAAGAAAGATCGAAGGCATCATAGATAGATAGATATACATACACATTAATATCATAGTCAAGATTGATAACGATAAACCTCCTAAAGGCCGAAAGTGAAGGGTAGGCAGAAACATTCGCAATACCAGTATGGGCCGTCCGCGCTGCGCGCGGAGAGCAACGCTGTTGCGTCCGTCGAAGGTAGAAGAAGCGCAGAGAAAAACAGGCGGCGAGAGTGCACGGGGAAAGAGGAGTGACGCGCAATACACACCTTGCGCACCCTCCGCGCCCTGCGCGGACGGCCTATAGCAGTAAAATAGTACTAGGCGGTAGAATATTCACTCGCCAAGGTGCTATTGGAAAAATGGCATATACCTTTGGCTGATTAGGGCCGGCCCATCACTTTTCCAGCGGAAATCCTGAAAAGAGGAGCAAAAATAATGAAGAAATAGCAACAAAAATGAACAATTTGCTGGTCTCGCACACATACAGTACTCCACCCCCTCCATAGATGCTGGTTTTCTGTTCAAATCTTCGACAACGCCAAAAACTTTTTGAGATGTGAGATGCATATGATGCAAGAACAAAGCACGATCCAATTTACACACAAAAACAGTTTTGTACCTACAGTAAAAATCAGGAACCCATCATGTTCAAAATGGTCCAGGTCCAGTTTGAGGATAACATCTTCAAAGAAGTACAGTTATTAATCCATTGGGTAGAAACTAGCCGAAAAGTACAATCAGGTAACATCTTTCACACAATTCAACAAGTGCGAAACGTAAAGAGAAGAAGTAAACAAAGTGAACAAAACAATAAATTACCCAGTAACGCACTTGCGTACTAAACTACTATTATTTGAAACGACAGTCCGTGCAGTGAAGACTACTAATGTACATTCAGTGATACCACATCCAACATAATTCATCCAAGTAACACTCACTCTTGTTTCCCCTCACCTGCATTCTCTACATATAATGAATGATTAGTAAGGAGAATTAGAGAGTGGGCATTAACGTGTTGTTCAAAGAGAACACATCGCGACACAAAATGTACACCAGGACTGAATATTTGGACAATACTGAGCATATTAACACTTTGTCGCAAAACTCCCACTTTCTAGCAAAACTTCCAGCGGTTGCCACACTCTAGACAGAACACGAAGGTTGTCATAGGCTCATCAGACGACCGCGTTTGTAGTTGTGTGTACGTGCAATTCTTCTTTCCACATTTTCCACATTTGAACATATCCGACGGCGTCCCTTCAATAAAGTTTGAAAACAAGAGGCAAAGGAGGATGTGAAGAATCCTTCGTTCTCTACCCAACCTAAGGTGTACCTGTCCACCTCGCTGATGGAGAAACAAAAGGTAATCACAATAAAGAAAAACCGGCAAACCTTGCTGCACGCTCATCTGATGCTCCAACAATGCAGCCTTGTTGAATTTGTCACGCATTTCTCGTACTTCATCCGAAGCCATTTCCTCGCTGCTCATAACGGCAAATCTTTCCGGCTTCACAACACCGGTGAGAACATTCTCTCTTAATCATTGAAAGTATGTCTCGGAGATGATGAGAATGAATAGAATAGGTTAACTAAGATGGCGTACCTCAGTGCGGGATTTTTCTTATCTCTAAGGTTAAAAACACGACTGCGAAGCGCTGCTTTGTACTTGTCACCAGTACCTTTGTGTACCTGAAACATACGTTACCTAGTGCAACACAACTAATCCTCTAATCTTGCAAAGAGGTGACAAATCGTGTGTGACTGATAAACTTGATCGCATTTTTTATTCACTCTGAATGCCAAGTCAATATTGTAAGCATGAGAACGGATTTGTTGACAACCCCAACGTATTCGAGATAATCCATAGAAGGACTACCAAATGCGAGCTTGCTTCATATTCGGGTAGACAGTCATCAAACAGTGTTATATAGTGCCCCAAAATGATGTATCGAACGTTCGATCAGTAATAACTCTCTTTTATGGAAAGCTTTTGCCGTCCTTCTAACTTTTGATGTTGAGCTGGCTTCAACTTAGATTAAGAGTATAAAGGAAATCACCGATTGCTCTTCATTACTGTAGGGGTACGATACATACTTTAAGCTTACAGCGTCATTATGGACTGCGCGTATTTCAAAATTGTCAGAAAATATGGAAAGTCGTGTAATTTCCAGGCGCGCTGATTTCGTTACTCAACTTGACTGTATGAAGCTTCTAAAATCACATATGTGAAGCTTCTAAATTCACATGAGCACAATTTTGGAAAGTTCTGCGAGAATAGCTATTGCGGTTAGATAACTTGAAGGAAGCCAAGCGATACAACTTATGAACGAGTGCCAGGTTCAGATTTAGTGTCAGCGGCTCTGATGAGCTTGGTGTAAAAGTTTTCAGGTTGCTGATTTGCTTTCTGAAGCAGAATAAAGCTCTCAATGGCTTGAATTGCTCTTCAGGATCTCTACCGTAACCTTACATTATTGTAATAGCTACCGGTAGCTCGCTCCATACTGCAAACTTGAGTCGAAACCAGCCCAATATGTTTGGAGGGAGGCGAGAGATTTCCAAAACAGAGAGTTATCAGAGACCACACGTTTGATGCATTACTTTGAGAGACTTTTTATATTCCCGACATTAGAATCCAAGTCCGATGGATTGAAAAAAAAAAGGACTTGATTTGTTTGAACCAAACCGCTACGTATGATCAGCTTTTGCCCAGAAGTTTTTCTTAGCACTGTTGACTTGAATTGTACGCCCAATACTTACACTGAACAACTTTTCTTCCACTCGTACTGCAATCTCCTCTGGATCATGTGTACCATCAGGAAGCTCTGTGTATCTGAGTGCATTCAAAATCATTTGTACTGACTTCAATCTCATCTGAAAAAGCGAGTTGAGCACAACACACTAAGTCGAGATACTCTTCACACACCTCATCTTTTTCCAGATGTTTCGGAGGGAAGTTGGAGGAGTAAGACTGAGTCGGCACGGGAGGTGCAGCAGGTTTAGGTGCATGCTGATTTGGCGTTGTACCATTGCCATTACTTTTCGATGATGGATTTGACGAGGATGGTTCATGCCGCGGTGTCTTGAATGAAAGAAATGAGCCAAATATTTAGATGACTTTTTGCAGTCACAGCTAAGAAATGCTAGAAAAAACGATATAGGAGAAAAACTGAAAATGTGAATGGAAATACAAGGGGATCCGTTTAGTCGAAGTGGCCTTTTCAAATGAGTCCCAAATCGCTTTGAAGAGTACTGAACGCGACTTCAGATCTGTTATCATTATCTGCCAAGCGCCTTTGGACGCCGAGCTATGTTTTGAAGCAAAAATGAACGCAGAATCTAGATATAATCAACCATACGGTCTTTTCAGCTCTCATGTACAGCATTGTTGAGTATGGGTGTACCAGACAGAAGTTAACTTCTGAAGAAAGTGCCCTGAAAACTACACTTGATCATTTGAGCATTTGTGGACGAATTTTGTTCGAATTTGCATTCAATTATTCAAACTCAGAAACGCGGACAATTCGGCGTCCGGAAGCGTTTGGCAGAGAATGCACACAGATTCGGAACAATCTTTCATTGCCCTTCGAAGCGGTATAGGAGTCATACAAAAAGGCCACTTCGATTGAACGAACCTTCCTTGTTAGCCAGGGCTTCAAAAGTAGCATTTCTGTACCAGACAATTGTGTTAAAAGAAAATTAATGATTCACATATGCTCATTGTCACTGTGTAATCGAACTCCTCAGTGCAACTAACTTCCGTAACCAATCCTACAGAGGTTCTTTATATGTACAGTCGAGTAGATTTAGCGGTAAATATAGTGTGCTTGCACAAAAGGTGAAATGCGGTGAAATTTGCGCGTGAACAAGTAACCACGTCAGTACCGCGAGTATCTTGCGCGCGCAATTGGCCGGCGTCACAGTCGAAACTATTTCTTCACGCGCCAATTTCACCGCATTTAACCTTTTGTGCAAGCACACTATATTTACCGCTAAATCTACTCGACTGTATGATGTTGTGCTGTAACTTCAAAACATATGGGACATTCAAAAAGCTGCCGTGATAAGCAATATCATCTTTATGCCTGTGATCAAGCACCAACTAGGGAATCAGTAGTCATGATTTGTTAGTCAACTTGTGCGATAGGGTTTTGCAGTTATGAAAGAGGCTAACGTGGTCGATGAAGATTAATGAGATGAAGACGCTCAACAATGGCGTAAAATTGAATGAAACACGCTGAGATCCTTTCCGGCATTATTTGCCTAAAAATTCATTAGGCCGTGGGCACAGTTCAAGGTCACGCAATCTCTGGCAAAGTGCCAGATGTCTTCAAACTCATTACTAGCAGATCCTCAATGCACAGCATGTATAACTTGCGCAGGTTGATAGAATGCCCTATATTCCGTACATTTAAAAACTTTACGAAGAGTTATGGACAGTTGGAGTACTGCCAAATCGCGTCGCGACTGAAGTTGCTTGAAGTATGCCAAAGGCTTTAGATTATATCTAGCTTGAGAATACTTGAGCATACAAGTTTAAAATGAAGAAACTGGTCTGAAACCTGTAATGCTATTTGGTCCATCGACGATTCATAACACGCAAGGACTGGGCGCCGCTGCGTACGACAAAGATAGCTCATACTTGGGAGAGGTAGCAGATAGAGAAACGGAAGAAGGCTTGATTAGAGAGACTCAAAGACTCGTCCGCAGTCTTTGCGTGCGATGAACCGACTATACACAGATCTGTTGTTTCCAAAAAGTGCCGCTTTCTAGCACTAACACCCGATCGTTGCAATTGCAACATATAAAAAAGCACTTTCAAAGCGACTGCGTGTCAAATGATAGTAGCAGCCAGGTAAACAATGGCTACACAAACTTTTTTTCACACAACAAAAAGCTTATCATCTCCTTACTTAGTGACAGTTTGATCGTGGGACAACCAGTCACCATTTATGACTTCTGGCGGACTGGACAAATAATGAGAAAGGTCGATCAATGGGTTCCACTTAGTCTCTTGCTCGCAATCTCCATGGTCTAGCTTTATATGTGCACATACCAAGAAGGATTAAATTGTTGCAATCGTGCAGCATTTCAAAGTCTCAAGTTATTTGAGTAGAAGTTTGTTGAGATGAGACAAGCAACAGTGTGAGAATGGATCACATTCTCAATGTGGCAAACGGCTAGCAAAGACAGCGCAACTGAGATGCTTTATAGTACCGCTTTGAACGCACGGAAGGAAAGAAAAAAGGGTAAACATACCTTTTCCTTCTTGTCCTCTCTTTTATCCACCAAATTTTTCCACTCTTTGATGAGGCTTTTTGCTTTCTTTGCGAGTTTCTCGTCTGAAGTCTTCTTCCTCAAATCGTTGATGGTCATACCAATGCGAGTTTTCTAAAACAAAAATTGATTGGTCAAAAATCTTTCACACGTCGTAAAGGTAGAAACATGAAGTACCGTCAGGATATCGATAGTGATTGGTAGTTTGGACAAAACCTCAAGCAGTTCCGCAGCATTTTCCGACTGTAAATTTCATTCTAACGCAAGTCACAGATAGAAGATTACAACAGGCAGAAAACTTGCCGATTTCGATCCATCAATAATCTTATCCAACTTTTTCCCTATGCTAAGCACTTCGTCTTCGCAAGACGGCATCTGTGTTCTGCGCCACGACCACTACTACTTCTATTCTTGAACAAGCCATAACACAGCATAGAAGTGACAATCATCAAGGAATTGGAGTGACTTTATTCAAATTCAACATGAGAACGTAAAAATTGAAAGAAGAAAAGGTCTCGGCGTCGAAAACTTGCGTGATCGACTGAAAACGCGTGAACTCGTCCACGTTCCGCCCAAGCCCAAGCAAGCCATGTTTCCGCTCCCCATTTCCCCACTTTTGACATCTTCATCTTCTTCCTGGCTCTTTGAAGCAAGTGCTTCGGAAGAGCATCAATATTCCTGAGAGAGAGGCTCAAGGTTCTCTTCTCTCCTCCCAACTCTATTGCAATGTCAGTCGCGCTCCGTCACATGTGCATTCTGTCTGGTTCCCTCACTTGCGAAATCATTTCGTGCACCTTTCACTTTCGAATTCAAATAATTATCATTGCGAGAGCCCATGTTGTCATCATGCAGTTCTCTTCTCAAGTATCGCTCCATTCTCCTCCATAACCAATCCTTTCTTGAACCATTTCTTGTGAAATATGTGAGTAAAAGACACACATGATAAACAACCGCGAATTCGCAGCCTTGAAGCGTGACACTGAGTAAGCTTAGTTGATCCCTTACATTCGTCATCGTCACTCGGTAATCCGCCACGAGAATTATGACGTTTCTAGAAAGTGACATGAGAAGGGTGTACTCGAATTAGGGTCAGTAAGTAGCCCTAAACTGACTATCCTGTCAAACCATCCACATACCAGTTTAAGGTAAAGAACGTAGAGGATGCGGATAAGATAGCAATTTTTGTCCAGATCCAGACTAGGCGTCATCACCAACCGAACTGTTTAAGATACGCATCCGCGTTCCTCAAAATATGCAAGCACGCCTTCTTTGAAAAAGCTGACTAGCTTTTAAGGCGCTGAACTACGTTACGCAAGTGATTACACTCCATGGCATTAATAGGTGCGCGTAGCGTCCATCGTATTTCGGACCCATGATTTGTATTTATCACGTCTTGTTTACGAAGTTGTACATGATCCAAGTCAGACAATGTACTTAAAATACCTCTAATTTTTCTATCAAAACGCGAAAGCACTCTGTTCCTTGCAGCGCTGCTGCGAACTCATTACGTTGGCAATTTGCCCAAAGAACGTGAACACGGGTCCTGTCACGACATGATACAATGCCGTCGTAGGGCGAATTGTGGCGTGGCCGACGGGGAGAGGACTGTACAGGGCTTACCAAGTGCAGAGTCGGGTGCACAGCATCTCCGCTTCCGCGGCCGCCTCGCATGGACTCCGCCCTCTTCTGCGAACATGCTCTCTTACGGATCGTTCAGACCGCGCCGGAACCACCCGCCCGAATACGTCCGAATTCGCCTGAACTGCCAAAGCGCAGCAGGTTGCATGCATAATGGCATATTGGAGCAAGCATGCGATTGATCCTTCTAATATCGGAGTAGTTGCAAAAGAAGATCGGTATGTGTCGTCGAGCTACGTGCGACTAAGATATATACACCACGCGCGCAGTATTCCACGCGTGCTCCAATATGCCAATTTGCCGCATATCCGCTGCGCTTTGGCAGTTCCGGCGTTTGGGCGGATTCGGACGTACATATTTGGGCAGGTTTGGGCGGATTTGGACGTATTCGGGCGGGTTTGGACGGATTTCCGGCGCGGTCTGAGCGATCCTTTACCACTTTCCCAGCACAGGCATGGGAAAGGCGGAGCTTCAATGGCTGATTAAGCGTGCGAAAATGTTTGGAAATCATATTCCCGGAAGAGGTGCATCCAGGCGAGGTGGCCACGCGGGAGCGGAGATGATGCCGGTGCACCCGAATCGGGTAAGCCAGTTTCATCCGCCTCCGTGGACTACAGGTCGTGCAACAACATGCAACAGTATTGGGAAAGGATCGGTTACCAGCGGAGGCGGGCTCAAACTGGCGGAGTTAGTTCACCCAACCGAATCTGCCACTAGTAAGCCCTATATATACTTCGCCGCAAGGAGGTGGTCCCATGCGGACATCTGCAGCGGACCGCAGCCTTGCGTATTACAGGCAATACAGATTGTGTGTAGTAGTACCAGCTGTCCGCGTGGGCGGTTCCTATTCGCAACAAATGCTCCTCTATCCTGGCCGACGAGTCGTCCCAACTTCGGCATATGGGTTGAAACAGGTTGTATATGCAATTGCAGCATATAAGCATCCATTCCTTCCCACATCAGACACTCCGTCTCTGGATTAGGTCCGGAATACGGATGACTTTGACTTCCCAGAGGTATCGTCCACTCCACACTTGCTGCTTCTCTTGCTTTGCATCACTAACCTGCGGTCTTCGGGGGCGATCTTTTTGATTCCGGTTCCAAGTCATTCGTTTGCACTTGATCGGTATTGATGTCAGGGCGGCTAACGGATTCGAGAAAATTGCTCTGGAAGCTAGAAGCGTGAATTCACAGTGGGGAAGACCCCGCCCACTTGCTAATTTCCCTCCAGTGTTAGAGCCCTTTTTTGTCGTTTTCGCGCTCTCCAATGTGGATTTTCGGATTCAGCATAGCGAATAGACCCGGGTAAGCACAAAATCTCAAAATCGAGTTCTTGCCCGGACACTGCCTTTAAAGACATTGTCCAGGCCATGGGGGGTAGTGGGATTTTGACGCAGTGCGAGGGCACGGCTCCTGATTTATGTCACAGTCCAGGAAATCGTTTCGAAAAAAAAAAGGGGGCCCGCTAATCCCGCCTCCTTGACAAGTCCTGACGTGGCGAATGCTGTAGATATCAAAACTTGTCAAGGAGGAGGGATTGGCGGACCGCCCCTTTTTCCCATAGCGATTTTCTCGCTTCAGAATCCACCTTTTTCGATCGGGCCTGAACTGTTGCATCAGTCAGGAACCGTGCTACCGCACTGCGTCGGAATCCCACTACCCCCAGTTGACCTGGAAATGCCTTTAGCTTTGGTGGACGGTGCCTTCGAGCGATGTACTGACATGATATGAGTGGAGTTATACAGAAGGCGATACACATCAGTAATGCCATGCCAACATTATAAACTCTTGGTCAGGCACTTTGTCTTCGCTACGTATATGGCGGACGAATGCTTTGGTTTGCAGACTTTCGCGCGGGACCTTTCATGCCATCTGCTGTCGCTTGGGCAGTCTAGGCACGCGCAATACTTGATCCGTTTGATCCGCTTCATCCACTTCGCTATTGGTCAGATCAGCAAACTGGCCAATAGTGAAGTGATTGAGTGGATCAAGCGGATCAAGTATGGCGCGTGCCTTAGGGTTCCTTCAGATCACGTCGCAGGACTGCAGGGGGGGGGCAGCCAACATGAACGATAGGTTGTGACAGCCATATGCGCTGCGTAGGTCAAATCTTTTTCATATTCCATATCTACGCTATGATGGTATCCAGAAACTTGGAAAAACCGCTGGGAGCTCTGTACGCCCTAAATCCAATTTAGAACATATAGCTTCAAAAGAAAAACTTTATGTGCGACATATTGACAGCCGCTGGAGTACGGTATGCTTATTGCCAGCTATCGTTCATCTTGGCATACACCCGACTGCAGCGCTGTGAAGGTATACCTATGCCAGCGCCGTTTTGCGGTTTATTTATTTATTTATTTATTGCATAGGAAAGTTCCTATGTCAACATAAAACAACAACAAAGAAAAAATGTGGAAGAAACTCAACAAATAGAACGAACTGCTAAACTAAACAAACAGACAAAAAGGTAGAATTGTTATACGAAGACTGAAGGTAGCTTCTTAGAAACTTTTTAAACAGTGATAGCTTTGCTACGAACATCTTTTTTCTCATAATCGTATCCACATCGTGGGCCACTCGGCACGTAAAGAAATTTTTCCTTACATTTAGCCTTGCCCTTGGTATTATAAGCTTCCTAGTCCCTCCTCTAGTATTGGAACATCTAGTAGCAATAAAATTTCTTGCGTCAAGCTTACATTCACCAAATAGAATTTTATGCACCATAATCAAATCGAATTTTTTCCTTCTGTAAGCAAGAGTAGGTATACCCAGATTTGCGTTACGAACCCGACTGCTCGGTATCTGATCGTATCTGAATCCGACCGTTCTTATCAACAGTTTCCTAGTAAAACTATTTTGAACCTTCTCTAAGTAATCAATTGTTTTTCGTGTGTGCGGACTATAGATCACCGTACCGTATTCCAATATAGGTCTTATGTAAGTCTTATATGCCCTCAGTAAGACTTCAGGGTCATTACATGATAATCCTCTGTAAAGGTTATAAGTAGCCATCGTTGCCTTATCCGCAATTGTCTTACAATGTTTGTCAAAGGAAAGATTGCTTGCAACCAGAAATCCCAAGTCTTTTATATTATCAACAGCTGCAAGCGTTGTTCCTCCCATTGTGTAGCTATATCCAGGGTTGCTTGAGCCCATGTGAAGTACTTTGGTCTTTTCACGTGAAATAGGCAGACCCCAATCCTCTGACCAATCAAAAACTTCATTCAAAGTGTCTTGTAACTGCCTACGACTAACTTCATCGTTGACTGTTCTATACAATTTAAAGTCATCAGCAAATGCGCAGCAATAAGTATCTTTGGACAGTGGTATAAGCGGGAGCTCGTATGTATATATGTTGTTTAGTATAGGCGAAAGTACGCCTCCTTGAGGGACCCCACATCCCATTTTCCTAGGAGATGAAAACGCCTGATTGATATGAACCACGAAGGTCCGTTCTTTTAGAAATGCTTCAATCCAGGATATTATTCTCGGATGTACTCCTACAGCCTTGAGCTTGATCATCAGTTTGGAGTGTGGCACTTTATCAAACGCCCTAGTGAAATCTAGATAGATTACGTCAATATTTTGCCCCCTATCTAACTGCAGTGTCCAATCATTGACCGCTTGTAACATTGCTGTAACCGTCGATTTGCCACGCTGAAATCCATGCTGTGCATTTGAAATCACATTGTTCTCTTCTAAATGCTTAACAATATGTTTTTTTAATATTTTTTCAAAAAGCCTTGCGAATATTGATGTTATGCTGACAGGCCGAAAATTTTCTGCACTAGTCAGCGGCTTTTTCTTGGGTATCGGTGTGACAAAGGAGAGCCTCCAACGCTCAGGAATTTCAGCTCGCATCATACTCAAATTGAAAATATGTTGTAATGGCCCAGAAAGTATGTCTGCAACTGATTTAATAAATTGTAATTGCAAAAAGTCAGGTGTAAAAGAAGTTGATTTAGGCCACCTAGTCAAAAGCAGATAAATGTCTTCACTTCTAAACCAAACCCCGTCACTCATCGTTGGGAAGATTGGAGGCAATTCCCTTTGAGGCTCATTAGAGCTTTTTTCTTCAGCAAAGGTCCTTGCAAAAGTATCCGCAAAAAATTCAGCTTTTTCCTTATCATCACTTATAACCACACCATTGTCTTTACGTAGAACTCCCAGCTTGCTTCTATTTCTAAGCCGTGAATTCATCATTTTATAGAACGCTGATCTATCTCCAGAGTTGATTACCTTTTTCTCAAAAGATGCGTTGTATTTCCGAAGCAGCCTAGTAAATTTGGCATTTAATCTTTTGAAATTTAAACTATCTTCAGCGTTGTCACTATCAGCTGCAATTAACCAAGCTCGCTCCCTCATTTGATAGAGTCTACGAAGATAATCAGGCATATTTATCTGCCCCATAGGGCGCAAGGACCAGGGGACGTAGAGATCAATCGCATGGTTAATTATTGTTAGGAACAGCTCATACATTTCATTCACCGTGGTAACGGTCATGAAGGAACCATACCAGTCAACATTAGCTAGGTGCTGCCTCAACCCATTTAGATCTGCATTTCTGAAATCCCTGTAGCTGACATACTCCGTCTCTCTTTTTTCATAATTGCTTATTTGAAATCTGAGCGAGGAATGATCACTGCTACCAAGGGGAGACTCCACGCTTATTTCACTAACCAAATTACTCCTATTTGTGAATATGAGATCAAGTAAATGTTCCCTGCATGTATTGGATTTAACATGCTGCGACAATTTGTAAAGCCTACACATTTGAATGAAGCTTCCGACAGATATGGACGGTGGTTCTGAGGTGGAGTGGTCTTCCCAATTCACGTTTGGTAAGTTGAAATCCCCCATAAGGACTGCGGGATTTTGACAGGCTAATAGATCGGAAAGAGCTTTCACCAATTGTTCTGTACCAGAAGCGGGGCAAGAAGGGGTTCGGTATACCAAAATAAGTCGCAAAGTGGTAAATGTCATAACATCGCAACACAAGATTTCGTAACCCTCTAAAACAGACTCTTTGAGCACTAAAAACGAATTCAACTTTTTCTCAATGGCCAGTAATACCCCTCCTCCCCTCTTATCTGACCTGTCGCATCTGTGTATATCATAATCCCAAGGCAAACCTCCGAACAGAGAGCTATTAGAAATATTTTCGTTCAACCAAGTTTCGGTTATTGCTACTATAGAAATCTTATGTTGAGTAAGAAGAAACCTGAGATGATCCATATTCTTGCACAAAGAACGCGCATTAGCAAGCAAAGACTTCAAAGAGCTACCTTCAATCCGAGGAATTATTGACTGTTTAAAGGCACACGCCCCGGCGTACCAGGTTGCGCGTTTTCAGATAACACATGTTGTTCAATACAATCGATACCTTGTGTTAGTCCTTGCTGAAAATCAGAATGCCTTGCGCTGGAACGATTGCCCCTTTCGTTGCGTAATCTGTCCCTCTCTTCATTTGTAAGAGAGGGGCGGATGTAGATCCCATGTGCATATGGGAAGCCTTTCAACTTAGGTGCCCTCTTCAGCGCAAGGTTTACAAAGAAACGAGACGGCATGACAATCTTTAGGAGCCTATTATAGGTGTGATGGGGTTTTCCCATTCTATACACGGAAGTGGGTATGCAATCAATAGAGAGGTAGTCAAAAATTTGATTAACACAATCCCTATCATGGTTTACTCTCATCCAACTACTAGGGCATCTATTCTCTGGAACACCGCTTATCACTAAAGAGTGTAGACGATCACGTTCTTCACACGTACAACCAGAGTTTGGATTGGAATGAGATGTAGAAATCGAACATTGAGTAGAGGGCAGAGGTTGCGGCGGTGATCGCTCAATACAAGATCTAAGGCGCTCGTTATCCTTACGCAATGTATTGATTTCCTCAGACATTGATTTAAGTTGAACAAGTAACTCACGATTCTGTTCAGCTACCATTTCGTAGAGTTTCCGGTTTTCCATCAAAAACGCCACAATGGTCCTTGCGTAGAGTGGGAGGTTTTCGTCTTTTAGTAGCTCTTCCGCGGCTTGATTGAAGTCAGGAGGTGTGGCGTCGAATTGTATCCTGCGCTTCTTTTGTCGTTCGATGGGTTGGAGGGGATATATGGGGGTCTCTGTCGCCATCGTGAGGAGGTAGAAGGAGTAGAATACAGGATCCACAGAAGAATTTAGCCAAATCAACAGCAGAATGTAGCCAGCGTCGTCAACCGATATGGGGGCACGGCAGAGGGATCACCGTTTATTGATGTTCCTCTTCTATTCCGTTCGCATTCGTAGAGAGTATTCTTTTAAATTCACAGTCTTCTTTCTCTTTCTTGTCTCATCATAGGTTCACTGGTTTTTCATTCAGGTTGGTGGTGCTTTCTCGATTTTCCCAAACTTGTTTCGCTCCATTTAGTTGTCAATGACTTTGATGCGCTAGTCTGTCCAGTAACTCAAGAGGTTGCTATACTTCCATGTTTGTGCATATTTTCGCTGCGACTGCGGCGGCTTCGCAGATTGCGGCAGGCTGCTGCGTCCTGCGGCGTAGTATGAAGGAACCCTTATCAGCGTGGTCGCACTAACCTACGTCAGGTAGCGCCGCTTCTGCGGAGTACCGGCCCTCTCGTACATGCTGTTGCATACCGCGTGAGGACCGGGGGTGGAGGACATTAGGTCGCCGAAAAAGGGCGGTCCCCGCGGTCATTTGCGACAAATACGCACCCTTGTACATGCGCGGACATGCGTTCCTGCAGGGAATCCGCGCGGGACTCTTCCAAATTCGGCGACCTAATGTCCTCCACCCGAGGACCGGTAGTCTGCAACGGCAATGACGTCATTTATTTCTCCATCTTCTGTGGTATATTTCGGGCATCCATGAAAGTTGTAGCAAAAATCTTTGCACTGAACATTTTTTTGTCAATGCTCATATACGCAATTGCCATCTGGTTTTGGTTCATGAGTGTTCGGCAGTTTCATTCCCCACCCCCCCCCCCCCCCATACAACTTTGTCACAAACACGTTGCGAAGTTTTACCTTTAGTTTTGCCACAAACTCGTTTTGAGAAAGGAAGAGTGCTGATGACGTCATCGGCACATGCTCAAGCATGCCTCCACTGCCGGTTCTTCGCTCATTCAACGAACAATCATATAGCGGCGCGCGAGAGCCATTATTAATAGTCGCGTTGAATCCCCTCCTAATCTCCGAAATGTCTCCTCTTGAGCTCCTCTTTGCTCCGCACGCTATGCTCTTCTGCCTACATGCATTCTCTTTATCGCTCATTCGCTTATAATGCATCGGTCTTGGCCGCTAATAATCACATTCACTCTTTGTTTTCGTTGACACCCCAACCTATACGATGTACTTATTCGTTCATATCATCATTGATTGCGGTTGTGGCAATGTCTCCGGACTGCAGTTGATTCAGGTCGAAACACATGGTCGTTGCGCCTGGTGATCCGCGACCGTCATCCAGGGGCGAAAAAGGTTAATTTTTTACAGTTAATTGAAAATTGCAGTATTACTAGCATCTTGGTTCTATCATTTTCCCTCTGTTGATTGATAACAAAAAATGTAATGGACCGGTTCTTCTGAATTTTACTTGCAATGTAGCCTATAATTTGATCTACTTTCACTATATCGGTTCTTGGAGGTGGCGGTACCGTGAAAGATATGGGAGAGGGTGAGGAAAGGAGGGGGGGGGGAATTTTGTTTTTGTTACATGAGTGATAGAAGCTATATGGTTTAATTTATGAACACATTTGTACACTACATGTGAGATTATACCGATTAGCTTAAAAAAACTTTCGAACTTTAATTACCTTAGGCCTTTCGGACAGAATTTCAATACTGACTTCTGAAAGTCATAAGTGTACAAATTGTTGGAATCAGTGGTTAGTGTTGATTTTCTGACTTGTGGAAGAGGACACAAATACACGCGGCAGGCGAAATGGTGATAAAAAGATTTTAAGAGAAAGGTCTGTTCTAGTATAGGCGCGCCATATTTGGTCATGCTTTTTTTGGCTCTCGCACTGCACTTGCGTATGTGCTATGAATGTCGAAAATGAGCAATCCCATCATTTTTTTTCGAACTTCAAAAAATTCAAAATGCGCAGTATGTAGCCTCGACCTACGCGATATGCACACCTCTCATGGAATTTGCTGCCACCGCTACTTTTTGTGCGCGCCCGCTTCTTATCGGTAAGTGAACGCATTATAATGTAGAAACTGGCTGTTCGCAGATTAGAGCACTTTGCTCGCCTCCGGTTGGTTCGCAACACCTGGGCGATCGAGTAGTGGTGAGACATAGCGACGGCCAAAAAGTTGCGGACAAGTCGCCTTCCTTTCTTCATCGCTCATTTTCGGATGGGAAACAAAGACGAAAAAATGATTGGATTGCATGGGGTAACAGAGCTCTTCAGGAACTACAACCCACACGTTGCGCTTTCTGGAAAACATGTATCCTAAAAATTTTAAAAGTCTTTTTCTATAAAAGTCCGAAAATGGCTGCGGCACAATGTCGCGGACAATAATTCTTCGCACGCGATAATATATCATAGAGCTGATCGAGGAAAATAATCAGGTAGTGGTTACTTCCAAAAAAAACCCCCAAGCTTGAATTTTATTTTGCTTTTTTTTCAAAAAATAACTTCTGATTACCATTTTAAACCGAATTTCTTCAAATGGGAACCTATTCAAGACATTCCATAAGCTATTCGGATAGAATGGACGCTGTTTGCCATCCTTTATGCACCGGACGTGTGCTGGTGAGTTTCTTTGCTGAAAATGGGTTTTGACAGTGCGTGCACATGACCCCACCTGTACCTCATCACTGACTTGCACCGCTTTGCAGGCTTGTAGCTCGGCCGGCAGTCACTCTACGAGCCTGTGCGTAGGCTCATTCGAAAGAGCGTGACTTTCCCGACACGATAGTATGCAAAAGAGTTGGGTCTGAGAAATCTCGGAGATTTGAAGGATTGGGTGAAAAAGCGCAGCCTTACAGGCGAATGAAGAGAAGGCTCTTATCAACACCAGAACAGTCTCAGAGCTCCGAAATGGATCTATTACAAGAAAAGTGACAGTTTTGAACTTCCAGGATGGAACTGGTGGCGAAAGGAGCTTTGCTCAACTTTAGCTGAAAAATCCTTGGCCTACAACTGAAGCTGTGCTTTTTCACCCCCTCCGCCAAATCTCCGGGACTTTCCAAACTCAACTGATTTGCATACCAACGTATCGTGGAGGTCACGCTCTTTCGAATGAGCCCACGCCCAGGCTCGTAGAATGACTGCCGGCCGAGCTACAAGCCTGCAAAGCGGTGCAAGTCAGTGATGAGGCACAGGTGGGGTCATGTGCACGCACTGTCAAAAGCCATTTTCAGCAAAGAAACTCACCAGCTCACGTCCGATGCATAGAAGATGGCAAAGGGCATCCATTTTATCCGAATAGCTTTGTTTGAATGTCTTGCATGGGTTTCCATGTGAAGAAATTTGGGTTGAAACAGGGAATTAGAAGTTATTTTTTGAAAAAAAAAAGCAAAATAAAATTCAAGCTTGGGTTTTTTGGAAGTAACCCCTACCTGATTATTTTCCTCGTCGTTCTCTATTATATAGTACGCTTACCTGTCCAAAAAACTTCTGTTTTTGCTCCAAAAGAAGACCTTAAAGAATTTCGCGGTCAAAGAATTATTGTACGCGACATTGTGACGCGGCCATTTTCGGATTAGGATACATGTTTTCCAGAAAGCGCAACGGTAGGTTGTAGTTCTTAAAAAGCTCTATCACCCCATGCAATTCAATCATTTTTCGTCTTTGTTTCCCGTCTAAAAATGAGCGATGAAAAAAGGAAGGCGACTTGTCCGCAACTTTTTGGCGGTCATCTTATATACCAAACTTGGCACACATACACTTCGGGCCCCGGCGGGTGTCATAGGCTACTTTTCGTCATCGATCGATATCGATTTTTATCGATTTTTTTGCAGAGTTCACCTACGGGGCTGGGAGTTGGCACAGGGGGGGGTAAGTGAGCGTGGGGATTCCGAATACAATATTAGTTTTTAAAATCGTGCATTACTTTTATCGATTTTATCGATTTTTTTGCAAAGCTTGAGCTGCGGGGCTGGGATTTGGCACAGGGGGGTAATCGAGCATGCTGATCACCTCCGTGGGGGTGATCAGCATGCTCGATTACACCCCTCTGCCAAATTCCAGCCCCCTAGCTCAAATTTTGCAAAAAATCGATAAAATCGATAAAAGTAATGCACGGTTTCGAAAACTAATATTGTATTCGTAATCAGCATGCTCGATTACCCCCTCTGCCAACTCCCAGCCCCGTAGCTCAAATTTTGCAAAAAATCGATAAAATCGACATCGATCGATAACGAAAAGTGGACTGTGACACCCGCCGGGGCCCGAAGTGTATGTGTGCCAAGTTTGGTCCCGATCGGTTCAGAAATGGAATTTTCTATTCGGAACATACGGCGGAGCAGGGTAAGCCAGGTAGTTTAGATATAAAAATGATTGCTCTTCCACTCCACTAAACTAAAGGGACGCATAATCTTGGCTTTGTAAGTTTGGACGCATGGTTGTTTGACTTACTGATTACGGTGTTATTATTCATCCGCTTGGTGGCTTATGTAAAGGCAGTAGCTCAGAATTGTAGACCCCATACACTGTAGCCCAATTCTCCAGTGCATGCGCTAAATCTTGAAAGAGCTTCAAAGGCCCTCCCTCCTCTTCCGCCCACTTCCATTGCGTGGGCGCCACTCGTGGGCTTTTGAAGCGCGTTTCCAGGGCTTGGCGCATTAATTGGAGAGTAGAGGTGGGGCTACGATGTCTTGGAGTGTCTACTATAACACTACCAAAATCTGACAGGGGTCCAATTTGCCGAGCGGCTGCTTTCAAAAATCACCGTAGCCGTACAATACGTGTTCAAAGCCGTAGAATTTGCTTAAACTTCGCCTGCAGGGTTGGTTGGCAAGGTGATCACAAGTTACTCATCTGCTCCTTATGATGGCGTCTTATAAGGGGTTATGGGTATATGATTTGATTGGATCCCACTTTGATCGTACGACAAGGTTTTACTATGTTCGCGATCAGCTATTAAGCATATGAGGAACCTTATCATGGCAGTGAATGTCACTCCATGATCAGCATGTTAAATAAAATTTGAAATCTTTACACAAAGTTGCTGCGCGTTTTGGAATTTTGACCCATACCTTATTGCTACCTTAAGCCTTATCATAGTCATAAATGTCACCTTGTGATCTGCTTGTAAAGTGACTCCAGTTGCAAAGTTTCTGCGAAAATTGAGATCCCGCATGCTAGGTTGTCAGTAGGCTAATGGAGTATAGGACGTCCGCGGTGTGCTCAGAGCAATGCTATTGCGTCTATTGGGAATAGTTCATGATTGGGAGAGGCGCAGATTAAAAAGCGGCGAGAGTGCACGAGGTTAGAGTGACGCGCAGCACACAATTCTCCCTGCGCGGTCGGTTGATGGTAGATACCAAATAGATGGATGAACGGACTCCGTTATTTTGGGCCGTCTTTGTAGAAAAATGGTGTTTCTGCGATGCTATTGCAGAACCACGGCTAATGATCAGCATTTTGACGACGAACAGTTCGCGTAAGTGGCCCGAAATAGCGATTTCGTTCCCCTACCCGTAGCTGTTGTCAACATGATTTGCGGTGCACTATTGCCAGCAGTCCCACACCCTGATCTTGCTTCAAATCATGAAAGCTTGCGTCAAAGTACCACCGCTGAAGGCATGCGCTAAATCATGAAAGCCTGATTCAAAGTTCCATCGCTGACGGTGGACGCCTGTGGATGTAATCATCAACTAAATTATTATTAGTGAGTAGGCTCGACTCACTCTCGAGCCGGTATTTGCGAAAGTTAGTGGGTTAACGAACTCGGTGCAATACTTGCGAATATCGGTGCCTGATCAGTGGATTCGCGACTCAACGAAAGGTGAACCGACTGGGTCTGGATTAACACGTTGACGACCGTGTGCATACGCGCGTATATATGCCCTACCCCCCCCCCCCCCTCCCATTTGGCACTCTCGTGTATCAGTTTTTCTTGTGTAAGCGAAAAGTTCCAAGATCTCCTATGTAGTAATAATACTGGTGGCTCGATTGTCATGTTATCAATGCAGGACATTGAAGTTAGCTGTTCAGGAGTCTGAACCGCACATGTAAGTATCCAGTCTATTTTCATGTGGTCCAAAATGGCTCAGTCGTCAACGTTTAATAATGTCACAGAAAGCTTCGTAAAGCAGCGTTGCTTTTCGATTTGCTTTTGAAGGTGGACTACCCTTTTTGTCAATGATTTTTTTTGGTGAAACAAAAAATTTTCCTTGTCAGAGACTAATGAATCCTTCTTATATATCAGTAATATCAGTAATCTAATGGTGCTATTTGGAGGAGCGTTCGCTTCGGGACCGCCACGCAGTTTCCCGTTATTTGCAGATTTTCGAATTGAGTTAACGATTCTTTATATTTAGATTAGATCCGTTATTTGAATGAAAGCTAAAATAGATACTCAGACTGGATGTAGAAAAGGTAGCCGCGTAGAAGTGCTTCTTAGAAAATTTTTTTTGTTGTTAAGGATAACAGTAGGCGAGACTAACAATGACTATAGGTAATTTTAGGGGGCTCTCCGTCCTCGCCTGGTGTTCTCTTCAGTCCAGCAGGTTGCGGCCTTCCTGGTGGTGACATGCAACTTGGGAGAACGGCAAACATCCCTGGTCCCGCAGTCGAATCAAATAGCACATCTGGAAATGAAGGTAGTATTCGTTATTCCTTGAGTTGTTATCTTTGAGCGTTCTTTTTTTTTGAAAGCTATTTATAGACAAAAACTGTGTTTCTCTTTTTTTCAAAGGATATGACCATGCAAGAGTTGCTTAGAGTATGAGAGGGACTTTATTCAGTGAAGTAATCACATAAATTCAATAGGTCAATCAAATTCGTCCCCACAGCAATCTGCCATCTCAGGGCCACAAGAGGATGTCATCACTCATGTTCCTTTAGATGAAAATGACCATAAATATGTAGGATTAATCAATCAGGTGAGTTCCTATCTTACTACTGTAGTTTTCCATCAGAGTTGTCTTTAAGGCAATGACTTGTTATCTGAATAGCTTAGTACAGTCCTTGTACATGACTCCAGAGTTCAGAAACGCCATTTATAAGTAAGTTTGCCTTTCTATCCAGTAGTGATAATCCGCTGACGATCTTCTTCTAGATGGGAATATCGTATCAGCGGAAAGCCCTCTACAAGTGCGGGTGAGAGGGAAGCGAGAAGTATACCATATCAGATACAGAAGCTTTTTCTCCTGCTACAAACAAGCGATCTTGCCTCACTGGAAACGAAAGATTTGACTGCAAGTTTTGGATGGTCTAGCAGTGAAGGTGCTTTGAGTCTCTAAAATCTGCAGCATATAAAAATTTACTATTTTGTAGCTTATGACCAACATGATGTGCAGGAGTTGTGTCGACTGATGTTTGACGCTTTGGAGCTCAAATGGAAAGGCACGCAGAATGAGAAGCTTATACAGAGCTTGTACAGGTTAGTAGTTCTACAAATTCAAATCTTTGTTCCTTTATATCGATTCTTTGGTTTCGCAAATCCTGAATATATGCAAAGTCCTCGAGGGAACCATATACAGTGTTGATCAAAATGCACCCATTTCAAAAGTAGCTTAATTCACTTAGTGACCATGGATTGCGGTAACGGACCGAGGTCCCCGTCCCGCTCTCGGGATTAAGATGCGAAGTTTTCAAAGTTGCATGGATTAAATTATGTGCGAGAGACTTGTGTAAATATCTGGAGTAATTTTGATCTGGGAGCGTAGCTCACTCACTCCAGTAATCGGCATCTTTGCTTTAATGATCTAGTTTTGAAATCAACGGAAATATTGGGAAGAACAGAAGAGACGATTAGAAGCACTTTTTCAATAGTTGTTAAGGTGTAAATCTCTTATTAGAGCACTGAATGCATAACCGAGAGTGGTCATAGCTTTTGGTTCTATGACGAGTTGGGCGTGTCACTCGCTTGCCATTGTATATCGTTGGTTTCAGAGGAAAAATGCAAGATTTTGTCAAATGTTTAAAGTGCGGTCGGGAAAATGTGCGCCAAGATGTTTTTCTCGATCTTCCCCTTGCGGTAAAGCCATTTGGTGCAATCGAAGCATTTCACAGCGTTGTAAGTTGCTTCTATTTTCATTTAAATTGTGAGTAATCTTATTATCAGATCCTAGGAAGAAGCTCTCCAAGCTTTCATAACCCCGGAGCTCCTTGAAGGAAGTAACCAGTACTTCTGCGAAAGCTGTGGATCGAAACAGGATGCACATAAGGTTAGATATATTTTCTACTAGTAGTCGCGCCTCAACATCTTCTATGAAGGGTCTGCGCATCACGGAATTTCCATACCTACTCACAATTCAGCTTAAACGCTTCGATTTTGATTACAATACTATGCATAGGATTAAGCTAAATGACAGGTCGGTTTTCTACACTTTTTATGACTTCTGCGCAATTCGTGATGATTCTAGGATGACTTTTCCTGATGTATTAGATCTGAATTCATTCGTATTCCCGTCTTCTTCGACCAGCTTGAACACTAATGAAAAATTACCGGAAACAGCGAGTAATCAAGGTTAGTTCTGAGTCAAACGACGATTTCTGAATTCTTTGTTTGCATAGCACTCGAATTTTTTGGGAGACGGTCAAAAGATGCAATTTCTATGTGGCTCATTAAGACAAAAGCCCATTTTATTGTTATACACGTCCTCAAAATTAACTAACAAAGTGCTTTGTTTTATTAGTTGTATGAAGTTGCCACTTGCTGTGTAGGACGGAGTTTGATGAAAAGAGTGAAAGTTTTAGGAATGCTTTTCGGTGGCCGGCTGGCAATAAAATTCGCCCCTCTTGACATAACCACGGGTGTTCCTGCAGGAAGCCTCCATAGAGATGAGCGCTGCGGGGCTCGTTCGGGCCCATTTATAGTTCACTGCTTCCTGTTCATGAAGTCATAATGCGTGATTGGAAACCATGATTTCGATTCATTTAGTTTTTGACTGCTTTACGATTTTGTGTGCAGGAAGCAGCGGACTATAGAGGGGCCCGAGCGAACACCGCTGCGCTCATATTCTACAGGGGCTTGCTGCAGGGACAGCCGTATCGAGCCTTAGTTGTAAGGTGGCGATCCTCTATTATCCTTACCCCTACACACACATCTGTTTATACACATGAAAAGCGGAGTTGAGCAACTTCAAAAAATTCTGTGGTCCATCTATAACACAGAGTGATGTTAGGAGTATGAATTCAAGCGCTACATCATTGTTTACCGCCACCTGGTGCGTTTTAAGCCACAAGAGTAGACTCAGATTCAGCTGTCCCAGTAAGCTTCGGTAGGGGAAAGAATTTCCACATTTTCATGATCGGTAAGACCATCATTTGGATTTATTGTAGTTGGTTGGTAGTTGGTTTAAACCACGATTCAGCAGTTTAGGTCGGATTCATGCAGTTATAGAGCACCAAAGAGATTTCATCTCAAAGACTTCTAATTGCGCAGTCTCAGCTTGAAGCTCAATACCTCCGATAATAGCAAATTTGGGGCAGAAACGTTAGAGGAACCTCCTGAATGGTTCAGCATAATTTATACAGTAATAAATGGGATTCAGCGGCAACTCCTTCGTTCAGAAACGTATACTGTTGGTCAACGGGTGGATCGTGACTATGTCAACAAACTTCTCAAACACGGAGAGTATGTGTATGAGCTGTTCTCCGTCATGGTGCATCAAGGAAGTGCTGCAGGCGGTCATTACTTTGCTCATATCAAGTGAGAAGTTCTTAACTTCCCTGTCATCATAGTTTACGATTTTGAGTTTTGTTGCGTTCTCTTTCATCTTCTTATTGTACAGGAGCTTATTCTAGGAACATGGATCAAGGGCAGTGGTACTGTTTCAATGACACACGCGTCGAACCCGTCGGCCCTGAAGAAATTTCGAAAAGTTTTGGTGGTTCATATGGCGGGTGGTCAACAAGTAATACAAACGCATATATGCTCATGTACAGGAAGGTATAGTTATTCTCGAGACAGCGAAATCGACCATTTGCTTGTCATTGCAGATTAGTAAATTGAATGCAAGTTTTATTCGTACATCAAATTTGCCTCTTCACATTACTCAGTTGAAAAGTCAGTGGAAAGAACAAGAAGCTGAACGAGAGAGGCAGCGAATCTATCTACTGAATCTTGTAAATGTGAGGCACATATCTATGATTTAGTTGCTTGTTTTTAACTCTTTTCACATTTCAGATCAAAGTTCATTTAAATATGGTGTGTGACAATGATTCTATGCTTAGCGAACAGTTTGTGATAGATATGCCTCGTTCAAACACACTATGTGATGTGTACAACCAGGTACTCTTTTCAAACCTACTTTCCCTGTTGTAGGAATATCTCCTTTCAGGCGTTGAAATTTTTCGAGGAGAAAGCCCAGGCTCTTGCTACATCAGAGAAAGGTAGCCCTTCCATTGTTCGCCATCATAGTCGTCTCATTCGCGTCACGAGCGAGCGTGGACTAACCGTTCACGAGGCATATGTGTCCAGAGCAGATTTGTCTAAGGTACATTCAACTTTTGCGATCCATCAGTGGTTGGGTAGCTTAATAACCGCTTTCCATTGGTCACTATAAGAGCTCTTTTGTATGCTTACACCAGGCTCATTTTTAGAAGATAGAGACATGCCTCGTGCATGGAAGGCCAAACACGCTGATGTTCTTACTCGACGTTTGGCGCCCTGGAGGTATGAATTATTTTAAATAGAGTTTACTTATGTACATTGACATATTTCATCTTGCTACCATATTGGTCCTATCGTATCGCTTTAGGAATTCCCTTTGCTGTCACTCCCGCCAATGGACGCACCGTACGCATAGCCCGAGTGGACATCGGAGCACGCTGCATAAACCCATCTTTCTATCTGTATATTAGTCCAGACCTTCGCACGGTAAGGGAATCGTTTTTGTTGCCTTTTAGGGCTTTTTTATTCCAGGTTATACAAGTGAAACAGCTTATCGGTTCCATGTTTGGCGGTGGACAACGTGCCGCTGTTTCATCTCGAATGGTGCTAGAAAGAGACACACAGCCGAATGGCTTGGTTCTGCTTGACTCTCCCGGGACAAACTTCTTCGAATTGCTTCAGCAGTGTTTCTCCGCTGTGCCTCTGGTACGGAATCTGCGTTGAATTCTGAAATTTTTTTTATCAAACCTTGACTGAGCGCAAAAGAGGAGCCGTGGTAATGATACTAAATAGAATCACTTCCAATCACTCAGAACTCGCTTTTTTTGGCTTCTAGCATAGTGGACACTCTAACGGTAACAGTATGGTTCAGTCACACGTAGGATAATGCAGGATTTCCCCATGTTTTTGGGGGCCAAAAATACACATCTTTCTTGACCGGAGCTGACTAGCCCGTATTTTCCACTATTCTGTGGACAGACATAAGATGTTATTTATAGTCTTGAGAACCAGTGTAAAAGAAGTTTAGATGAGCTGGGCTATATATATGTCTAACTTCATATGTTTTAGGTATACTGTGACAATGGAGCTAAAGGCGATTCGAATGAAGTTGAAGAGGATAGAAGAAGGCCGTTGAACGAGACTATTATGTTTGCTGTACTTGACAGAAAGAAATTTACGCAATATATGACTGTAGAACTTCCTCCACCAGGTAGGAATTTTCTACTGCCAGAGCATGCAGTCTCAGAGGCGAAATATCTTATTGTTATGCGCGCTGGTCTTTCAACTACATTAAAGGCACCGTCCATCTAGATTCTCGACTTCCATGTTTTGATCGTTCCGGGGCCTTCTCATGTCCCTGATTTCGAATATGAGGTCCAGAATCCGCGAAAACCCCGATTTCCCGTTTAGGAGAACCCGCAGACCGCCTCTCCGGAACGGCGATGGATGGGTGCGCACGGATGGGACACCCATCCATCGCCGGCATTACTGGAGGGGTCGGTGCCGACTTGGGGTTTTCAAGCATCTTCGCTATTCCGAAACGATGTTCTCCCTTCCAAAGCGAAATTTTGCGCTGCTATTGGGCATTGGCTTGATAGGGGTTTCTACTATCTAAGCTGCCAAAAGCTCAAGACCCCTCACTTATGGTGGACGGTGCCCTTAAACTGTCTTATGATATAGTATATACAACTTCGCTCATTACAGATGAAGTCGCTCGTGCGCAAGCGACCACACATGCATACTCGTCTGGTAGTTTGTGGTCGGATGCCATAACCAGTAACAAGCAGAAGGTCAGTTCCAACAATTAATTTTCGGATTGTGCACAGATCTGAAGTTGGTGAAATTTGATGCGATACTATATCGAGAGGCCTAGCTGGGTAACTGCCCAAGCCCCGTTGCAAAAGTTGTATATCGAAGCAAAAAAAATAGCCTTAAAGGGTTGGTGAGGTAGAGGTCGCCCTGTTCATCAACTTGTGTATTCTGGGGTTATAAGCCCGAGAGTTCCGGATTACCTAGAGGTGTCGAAAATCTGCCTTTTACTGCGGAAGCAGATTTGCAGCATCTTAGCTGTTTTGGAATCCGTTTCGAACGTCACCCCTCCTACCAACCATGGATGGGCGGGGCTATCCGTGCCTACTCTCTGGAGCAATCTTCTCGCTTAGCAAGTCACTCTTTGCGCGGGACTTGAGTATCTATTTGCTAGTGTGTTTCGCCATTGTATGGTACCAAAATTTCACTAATTCCAGATTTGGGTGCCTTCAAAGGTATCGTCCACCCAAAATGGGGACTGTGAGATTTTCATGCCTAACAGTAATGGGGTCCACAACTGTATACTTACCCAACTCACGCTGGCAAAGGTTGCTTCCGAAGCGAGAAATTTGCTTCGAAACTCGCTTGGATGACAGCTTTGCCGCGTTGGCTCCTCCCCTTTGAGTGGGCGTGACGTTCGTCCAGTGCGGTGCGCGCGCAACCAATCACCGTATCGAAGAAATCGCTCTGTGGGGTTCTGAAAACGGGGGTTTTCATATTTTTCGCGGATTTTCGACTTGATATTCGGAATCAGGGATATGAGAAGGCCCTGGAACGGCCAAAACATGGAGGTCGAAATTTTGGGTGGACGGTGCCTTCAAAAGATAAAATCTGGTAACATTGAGAGTCCTATTGTCGGAATCGTCGTTTGTCCTCTTCGAAAGAAAAATTTGCTAAGTATTAGTGCATGAAATTTGACATCGAGATGCTTTTGCGTGACAGAAAAGTTAGTGTTAGTTGATTCAGTTTCCTATTTCAGTTGTATAGCAACGGAGCTTTTGTGTTACATCTAGTTTCAATCTATAGCTCTTCCATATAGCAGGAACGGTTCTTACAGCATCAACTTCTGCACAGTCCGCCACGCAGAATTATGCTTACATATTTCTCATTCATTTTGACGTAATCAAAGATTCTTTATCAATGCAAAATAGTTGAGAACTAGCTGGCTTACCCGGCTCCGCCGTATCCGGACCAAACTTGGCACACATACACTTCGGGCCCCGGCGGGTGTCACAGTCCACTTTTCGTCATCGATCGATATCTATTTTATCGATTTTTATCGATTTTTTTGCTGAGTTCACCCACGGGGCTAGGAGTTGGCACAGGGGGGGAAGTGAGCATGGGGATCCCGAATACAACATTAGTTTTCAGGATCGTCCATTACTTTTATCGATTTTATCGATTTTTTTTGTAAAGTTTGACCTGCGGGGCTGGGAGTTTGCACAGGGGGGTAATCGAGCATGCTGATTACGAACACAATATTAGTTTTCAGGATCGTCCATTACTTTTATCGATTTTATCGATTTTTTTTGTAAAGTTTGACCTGCGGGGCTGGGAGTTTGCACAGGGGGGTAATCGAGCATGCAGATTACGAACACAATATTAGTTTTCAGGATCGTCCATTACTTTTTCGATTTTATCGATTTTTTGAAAATTTGAGCTAGGGGGCTGGAATTTGGCACAGGAGTGTAATCGAACATGCTGATCACCCCCCTTGGGGATGATCAGCATGCTCGATTACCCCCCTGTGCCAACTCCCAGCCCCTAGCTCAAACTTTGCAAAAAAATCGATAAAATCGATAATAGTAATCGATAATCCCAAAAACCAATATTGTATTCGGAATCCCCATGCTCGATTACCCCCCTGTGCGAACTCCCAGCCCCGTAGCTCAAACTTTGCAAAAAAATCGATAAAATCGATAAAAGTAATCGATAATCCTGAAAACCAATATTGTATTCGGAATCCCCATGCTCGATTACCCCCCTGTGCCAACTCCCAGCCCCGTAGCTCAAACTTTGCAAAAAAATCGATAAAATCGATAAAAGTAATCGATAATCCTGAAAACCAATATTGTATTCGGAATCCCCATGCTCGATTACCCCCCTGTGCCAACTCCCAGCCCCGTGGGTGAACTCAGCAAAAAAATCGATACAAATCGATAAAATCGATATCGATCGATGACGAAAAGTAGCCTATGACACCCGCCGGGGCCCGAAGTGTATGTGTGCCAAGTTTGGTCCCGATCGGTTCAGAAATGGAATTTTCTATTCGGAACATACGTACACACATACATACAGACAGACAGACATACAGACAAACAGACATTCAGCTTTATATATAAGAATATCACCCCAATCCCCAACCACACTACTTCGTTTCTAGTTGAAGAGCTCTGCTTCGTCAGCCATTGAATCTGCTCCTATCACACCTTCAGACGGAGGAAGTAGGTCATCTTCGCGAGCAAGTGACTTTATCGGTAACGACGTTATGGGTGATATCGGCAGCTGTTGTCAAAACACACCTCAGGTATATTTTTAAGGATGACTGAATACATATCACCAGAAGCATGCTAAATGCAAGAGAAATAACACTTTGCACGTAAAGCTTTTAAAATGGGTGGGAAGCGAAGTATTGATGTGTCAAAATAAAACAAGTAGAAACTGACTTCGTTGAGCAAATCATAGAGCGCAGATTCTGATTGTTTTATATATACTCCGTTTATTCGGGAATTTTGCAGAAATTGCGCGGTGATGTCATTTCTAGCTTTGCATAAATCAAAACAGCAACGCATCATGACAAGTGCCTTTCGTCTTCATATGTAGCTCTCGAGTTCTGAGTTTTGGCAAAGTTTTGGCACTCTATATTGGTACTTGCTTGTCCTTATTCCTTTTTTTTTGGCTTGCGGTTGGCTTTGTTGATGGCTTGCCATGTGAGCTACATCTCTGTTCAAATCCTTGTTTGGTTAGAACTCTATTGTCGTTGGTTAGTGCTGTGTTACCGCTAGTTTTTGCTGATTTGCAGATGTCACCAAACGTGTCGGATGTTGATGAGGGAATCGATGATTCCGACTTAGCTGTTAGTATCCTTTTCTCATCCTATATCATGCACTCCTGAGTCCCTCAACTACGCTTCCAGGACTCTTTGGCGACAGTCGCTGAGAATGACAACGAAGACGTGTTCCAGTCTCATTCTGGAACACGCTCGCTTGCCGATTCATCTGATACCACTCCAGTCCCATCTACAATCACATCTCATAGTGATGAGTTGGTTCAAAAAGTTGTTCAACTGCCAACTTCCGTCGGAAATCGTGAGTAGAGTTTTTCTAAAATCATCTTGGGTATCTCATCGATTATTCTGGGATTGTTTTTTGTTCAGTAAAGGGGGGGGGATCAAGAATGTAAGGGCGTAGTGTGATTATTTTTTTGAGATAGTCCTTTTAAGTTCTCTACCTGGACGTTGATTCGCGTTTGACATTCGGAAAGTTCAAGGCTTGGCTTGGAAGAAAACTTGGCATGGATACCACACAGTTTGTCGTTATCAAACACTACCGGGTTGGATCTAATGTTTCGTAAAAGGTTTGCATACCAATCTGCAGTTCTTTTCTAGGAAGATGACAAAGGGTATGAGTGCAATAGCAAGGACGACGAAAGTGTACGAAGCGCATTGGATAATGTTTTCAAGGTTTGATTTTCTGTCTTTTCTTAAAAGATTCGCATGTGTGGTTGTTTAATAATGAATGCATGGATTGGATCTTTCACCACTTTTCACTTTAACACTTCTTTTTTTGAAGTGGCAATGAATCTATGACGCTTTCAGTTGGGAGTGAAGTTGAGGCCACCTTTGCGAGACGACGAAAAGCTTATTCGCGTGCTACAGTTCGACCTGAATGAACCCAATGTAAGTATATGCTCGTGATGTTTTGTATTGGTGTTACTATTCAATATGCGAGAGATTTCAGCGAGAAAATTGGAGAGTACTGTTCGAATGTCCAGCTTCAAAGCAGACATCTGTAGGAGACCTAATGTTGCAATGCATACACCTGTACGCAGAAATTTATGGCCAGAAGCTGAATATGAACCAGTTAGTTGGAATACCCCCAAATCTCCATAACAAAAAATTTTGTGCTCAGGATTCGTCTTCGAGAAATGTCTACAGTCAGCCGGACAGTGAAGGCCGTACTCAATCCTGCAGACACTCTCGACTGCAGAGGTTCTCAATGGTCGAATAATGTGTATTTCCAAATCATAACAGGTATCTCGTGTTGCTTGTTGCTTCTCTTCCGATGGGATAGTTCCAGATGAACGTTTGATTGGTAAACCCGGTGTGCCTATCTTGGTGCGGAGATTCCGACCTTCGACTGTGGAAGTATCGGCCATACACGAAGCGCTAGTTGATCCCAAAGCTCCGAATCAAATGGAATCTCTGGCTCAAAGCGTTTCGGCTTTATCGGGAGTGCCTGCCGATAGGCTTGTTTTCACAGAGGTTCTGTTTTATTCATTGCTGTCCAAGTTGTGCAGTTTCTAGTATATAGGTGCATTAGTCACCATTTTATCTGTCATATTTTCGTTAACCTGCACCTACTGCAGATCGGTAGCTCGTGGGACAAATGGCCTTATACGCTGAGTCGTCTAGCTATGTTGGAGGGTTCGGTAAAATTCTCATCTCAGCCTTCTTACGCACCAAATGATGTTATTGAGCGCATTGGAGGAAGAGTGATATACTACAAGTAGGTGGCATTCTTTTTATATGCCTCTAGGTTAATCTACGTTTCGGAATATTTCGAGTCTTGTATTGATATGCATTCTCTTCTGTTCTTCACTGTTTGATGATTTCAGAGATAGCGCGGAGTCACCAAAAGAGCTTTCTGTTGAAGACAGAAAGCAGATCCAGATCAAGGAGAATGGTCAAACTATGACAGCTGCTGCTCGTAGGAAAGAACGGCCGCTTCGGATACAGATGAGTAGTATTAGCGAACCATGATCTAATGCAAATATCTAACAATGTTACCCTTCTGTTACTTTGCCTTTATCGCACAGGTTGTCCATTTGATTTGTCTTAACCATGTAAAAAAGGTTGGCGGGCGGTGTTGATCTCATACAAAAATTAGTAAGAAACAGATTTTCACACCCGTTGATCTTGCTTGTGGGACCGGTTTGTAGCTGCTTGGTATCGTAGACTTAAAAAATTTGTGGAGAATTTTTCTTTGTTTATCAGTAGTGATATCAGTATGTATTCGAATGTCTATTCTGTGCAAAGTTATATTGCTCTTCGAATTCGAGTGTGATTCTGCATGCAAAAGAGAGGTATCGTCTTTGATAGGTCGTCCTGTTTCTTTCATTGTAAGTTGATGCACGTGTGTCTTTGAATTTGTTTTGAATTTTTGCCAGCAATCGTTGATGAATTAGCATGAGGTAGCTCAGCACTTACAACACTCATGGTTCATAACTCGCTTCTGAACATTTATCGACACAATAAAGATTTCTACTCTTGATTGTAATCCAGCTAATTGTATAGTTCTGAATACTTCTTGATTAGGATGCCATTTCATCGTTGTGACATTGTCACATTTTCAGTCTTGTATCCTCCTACATTCAAATCAATCTTTTCTAACTCATACTGCTCTTTTTTGACGCGAAATTTTTTCCAGCTCTATGTTATCCCTAGGAAACTCGTAGACTGTTAACTCGAGAAGTTTGAACATACTCCAAGCGCATATTCACAACAAGCTTCCTAGTAATTTTGATAATTCCTTTTCAAAAACGGTTTGAATAGCTGAAGTCACACAAGAATTACGAGCGATTGATGTAATCTTCAATGTCGCAAACCCTGCCTCGTGCGGTCTACGGTTAATAAAGACGCCTTCGCCCTAGCTTTTGTGCCTTCGCGGCAGTATGCTATATAAATCTTGCTGTTATTGCTAAAATGGTTTTAACCGCGCGTCATCGTGCTTGCAGCAAACACCAATCCGTGGGGTCGGTGACTCACTCGGAGCTAGTTAGATAGAGGACAGTGATAGGCGGAAGACCCGCAAAAATAAACTGTTGCCTTTTATGCCTCCACTTTGAAAAACTTGCACATCATACGCCTATTCTCCCTCCCCGTTTGAAGGCAGCGGCTCGGGGGGATTTCCATCGTTCTCGGTTCCCCTGGATGAGCTAAGTCCAAGACTGTGCTCTGCAGCTTCAAAAGATGTCAATAACCCGGTTTTCCAAACTTGAAAAGTGCTATTTGGGCGCATTGCGTAAGCCCGCGCTCTAGAGCGCATTGGCTCATGAGTGAAGATACCGTACCCACCGTGGGCCAATGCGCTCTAGAGCGCGGGCTTACGCGGTCCGCCCAAATAGCGCTTTACACGTCTGGAAAATCGGGTTATTGACATCTTTTGAAGTTGCAGAGCACAGTCTTGGACTTAGCTCATCAGGGGAACCGAGAACGATGGATATCCCAAAATTGTCAATCTGCCGAGCCGCTGCCTTTAACACGTTGACGACGAGCCATTTTTTGAAGGTCTGTCCCTGTGGACGAACCGTTTCCCGGCACTTTCACAACTAGCTGCATGTACTAGGCTGTTGCATAAGTTCTGTCCGATTTTTTTGCCTCATGTTTGAAGCAGCTGTTCTAAGAGAATTTCATCTCTAATTCGATACGGTTGGTATCATTGAAAAGTGCTTTCCTTGCGCTTTCTAAAGCATACCAGAATTCAATAAAATTCTTAGTGTACGGAGATCACAGGCCTAAAATCTCTAAGTGGCCGAGGTACGTTCTATCCCTAGAAATATGTCCTTGCGAGGATATCTCCACAATGCGCCCTTCAAGTCAGGTTCTTTCATTGGCTTCGGAATAAGGGTATGGAATGCTAGTATATGCAGAAGTTCGGTCCCATGAAGAATACGTCTTGCTAGTGAAATCTATCCTCGAACATAAATCTTTGGTATAGATGTTTTACAAGCAATAACTTTCTGCGAATAGAAGTAATCGACAAGCTCAAAGTTGGAGGTGCTAGGGCAAAGCAAGAGCTAACAGGGCCCATCCACCAATTCCTTTTCGGCGCTCACGTCAGTTGTAAAACGTTCGTAGTTCATAAATAGGCATGCACACATGTGCTGAAGCGAGGTCAAAAAGTGGCTAATTTTTTGTTCGGTCAAGAAAATCTCTCGGCAGCGCAAACCCTATGGGCTCTTTTATGTTGCATAATAATCTACGAAAATTTCTCTATCCATCCATTATTAGAAAAGATGCCTATCAATTTTCATAAGGGAGCGTTACCATGTCAAAAAAGACAGATTCGAAGAAAAACGCTGCGAAGTTTTTGCATTCTTGGTTCATCCTTAACAAAGATTTGCGCAAATCTCAATATGCATTTTTTAGCCAAGGGACTGCTCAACACATAGAAACTAAGACCTTGGAAAAAAGTTGACTCTGAAAGAAGTTATGACATTTTAAACTCAAAAATTCAAATCGGACAGAACTTATGCAACAGCCTAGTATGTATGCATGCATCTATGCGTGAGATACAAAAATGCAGGTGGGGAGGGCGGCTCCGCCCACTTTTGGCAAGCCCCGCCCACTTTTCAAAAATGCTGGAAATTGCCCAAAATCAATGAATTCGTGCAAATTCCGGCATTTTTGAAAAGTGGGCGGGGCTTGCCACTCAAGGGGCGGAGCTTGCCTGAAGGTGTGCGGGGCCTGGCTGATAGTTGTTTGAGGTCTTTGCGTTCATTTACGGCCTCATCCATGCTTTTTATGAACAAAAATGGTTCTTGTGGGAGGCATAGGAGTGGGCAGAGTTTGCCAAAAGGGGCGGAGCTAATACATGAAGTATATCTGATCCTATGTTGATTATATGAACAAAAACTGAGAGGATTGGTCAAATAGTATTGAAATTAAGGCCGCCGCGCACCATTGCGCGGCGTCGTCCACAGGGACAGACTGCCTGCCGCGCACCATTGCGCGGCACTGTCGTCAACGTGTTAAGGACATCAGAACAGGTCATGGATGATTTGGCGCTTTCGTGGAAGCAAGCTTGACATCTTCCTAAGAACGACATCTCAAGTTCAGAAACAGCCTTGATGAGAAGAGCATGGCGAGCAGCTGCTGACTTAGCAAAGATTGCAAATGTTGTTCTGCAAAGGGCAACGATAGAGAGTGAAATTATGGTGGGTTGCTTACAAGTGCAGGCTGTTTATGCAGAGACCATCACTTTGGTTTGAGATTTTTAATTTTCGTCGGGATGTCTCAGTTCTAGATTCAGATCCGGCTTTGCCTCCTGAGCCTTGCTGAGCTCTCTAAATCCGTTTATACTCTTTTTTCAAATCTGATTCTCTTGATGTTTCCCCAAAGATGTTTCTAATTTGATTGATGTTCTTTTCAAAGTCTCACTATTAGTAAGCATGATTCCTGAAGTTTATTAATTACGGCCTTCAGTCGTCGTCAATAGGCATTGGGCTTTTCTACCGTAACCCGAAAATCGCTCAACCGCCGTGCAACGTGTAACTCAGGGGGGGGGACGGTCAAGATGTACGAAGCGAATTTTTCTCGAAGCGACGCCGCAACGTAATCCAGGCCCTTACAATAGCAGCCCTCCTGGCGCAGTCTTACAGGGACTTTCAATCTGAGTGTCACGGTCGACGTGGTTCAGGTCCTCGAGAGCCGCCTCGCGTGGATCTCTCACGTGGTACAACACCACATCTGATACCGCGAAAGCCTTAGCCGATGCGGTAGTGTACCACTTGAGAGACCCAAGCGAGGCGGCTCACGAGGAACTGAACTACGTCAACCGTGACAGTCAGATTGAAAGCTCCCGTACTTATAGCATTGACTCATGTATCTATCTGCTCCACCCTCACTTCCCTGTTTTTGCTACCGAGAATCTCTATTGACGGCTCAGGCAGGCGTCACGTAGCCTGCGCGACACGTTGCACAGCGGATGAGCGATTTTCGGGTTACTGTAGAAAAGCCCAGTGAGTATTGACGACGACTGTACGCATGCGCAACGCAAGCGCCCTGCGCGCGGACCTACAGTCTATGTGATCAATTCAAATGCCCAAACCATGCCGCGCGAACGTGGCGCGATGCTCATTGCGCTTACGGAAATGGGAGCACGCGATTCACATCACTGTAAGGGGCCTGCAGGATCGCGAGAGTCGGACGTGCGTACCATTGCGCCGCGCACGTCCAATGTCACTAAAGCAGGTGCTAGACTTATCCGCTTCAGCCGGTTCGTTTGGTTCATAGGTCAAATCACTACGCTGTCCAACAGCAAAGATGATGAACCGAATAAACCTGTTCTACAGGATAAGTCTGGCACCTACCTGAGTGGTCGGACGCACATCTGACGTGCGCGGCGCGATGACCGTACGCACGTCCGACTCTCGCGATTCTGCAGGCCCCTATAGAGATGATCGACTACGAAAGCGAGGACCCAACATGGCGGCATTCTGCTCATTTCAGGATCTCCCTTCCATTAGATTGTGCACAACGCTGCAGTTGAGAGCGTAAAGTCGCTAACGTCTCTGCATCTACATACAGGGCCCGGCACGCGTTGGTTTGGAGGTTTTTAGAAAACGAAGTCCCCCATGACTTCGCGAAAATTTACGAAGTCCCTCTCGACGTGAAAATCAGTAAGGAAACCCTTATTCAACCAAAATAGCAACAAAAAAGCGAAAAAAGCGCATTTTGAGGTATGTAATATAACAAAAAAGCAAAAAGAAAACATTTCAAGTCGATTAAAGCTCTGCCATTGGGTATAGTACCATTTTGATGCTGGGAATGTCGAAAATCTCCTAGGCCAACCAAATCTGTAGCCTCAACAATCCTGCGATGCATTTTTTGCCACATATTTCAAAGGACACCGCAAGTGATTAGAGCGCGATATCTATCAACGCGTAGAATTATACCACTTTTGACTCAAAAAAAGGAGAGGCAACGGTTTGATCCGCTCTCTTCACTAAATGATAGATTTTTGACCGTTCTAATCGTCCAAATCAAAAAGGTCCAAAACTTATGTGAACTCTCCGATATTTATGTTCCGAACCAACCCAGTTGGTTTGGTAGTTGGTCTAGAAACCAACAAATTCGAGAACGGATATTAGGACACATAAGTTTTGGGAACTTTTTACACAACATAGTTTGGAGTAATATTGTATACAAATAGCCCAAATTCGGAGCCATGTGATTGTTTGTGCGCTGTAAACAAGCCATTTGTTTGTTTGAATCTTGTATTTGAAATTCGCGCGCTTGCGAAAAAACACGTTCAACTCGTGAAACCTGACATGTTCGTCGTGTTTTTTTAGGCGCTTCCTCCAGGACCTCATAAAAACGATGTCCCCGTTGCTTCTAACTCCAAAAACGAAGTCCAGTTTGACCCCAAACCATCGGTGCCGGGCCCAGTCTACATACTTGCCGAATCTCCCATACAGTTGTTACAGTTCTCAGCGTAAAACTCAGCGCGAGAAACTCGTAATCGTCATTCTTGCTTTTGAATGCCAATTCATCGTCAGCTTGACGGCCCGTGAGAAAAAAAACGATAATTATTTTCTTCGGGAGTGCACTGGAAGCATGCACGCAGAGTAGGAATAGATGACCTCAATGCTAAGCAATGAAGAGGGCCGCGGAACGTGGCAGCTGCAGGTTCGAGCGGAACGGTGGCGCTTTTTGGGTCATCCATCGCGTAAGCCAAGCCTTGTTAAAAGGGGGACGGTCAGGAGGTACGGTCGGCGCGAATTGTTCGCGAAGCGACGCCGCAACGCACTTGAGCCGGTACAACACCAGCGCTCCTGGCGCAGTCATTCTTATAGCATTAAGTCATGTCTGCCCCCACCCTCACCCCCCTCACCCCCCTCCCCCCGCCAGAAATCTCTATTGGCGGAGAGTTTTGGAGGCCCCAAGTTTGAACGCGGCGTGGGCGGAACCTCCTGACGTGCAGCCTTGTTAAAAAAGTCAGCATGCACGCGTGATAGAATGTTAAAAGTAATGGGCGGGGTAAAGAAAAGTAGCAGGCAGTTGCTACATGCTGATGGCAGAAATAAAATACTGAAGAGGCGTGATATCCTTGAAGCAGGAAAAATCTTCAAAATTTATTGAGATTTCGTTGTCGATTATTTGCGAATGTCTCAGTTGCTTGTGCGGTTTGGAAGTTGTGAGTATCACATTCGTGTGTGCATTTAAGGCGATGAGGAACAGAAGAGCTCCAAAGGCACAGAAGGTCATTGCGAGCAGTGTTCAGGTAGAGAAGAGCGAAGCTGAAATGCTGGAAATCCATGTGAAAGAAGAGTTAGTCTTGCCTGAGGAAGAAGGTATTTTTGGCCATCATACGACATCATTTGTCTAGTTTTTTGCAACTCTTCAAATTGCCAAATGGTTTTGCAGATGGGTACAAGTGCCAAACGGTAGACATCCAACCCGAGAAGAGCAATAAGCAAGGTGACTCATGTGTCTTGGACCTGATATCGCGGTATATATCTTTTCTTGTCATAGTAACCGTTGCAAAAAGTAAGAAGACAATGACTTCAGTGAAGGTGAAGAAAGAAACTTGCTCAGAAGATCCACAAGGTTTGATACATAAGTACTCAATGTCGTCTACTGAATCTAATTTTAGCCCGGCTCGACAACGGAAATCATACCAAACCTATACCAAAAAAGAGAAGGCGTAAACATGGTGATATCTTTTGATTTTTTCTATTCCAATGATTTGTGATATCCATGTTTGAGATCAAGCCGAAAATTTTGGAGGGACCACAGTCGTTCAGCAAGATGTCAGCGTACAAATCAAAACAGAGCTAGAAACTAAAATTGGTTTGTTTTTCAGAATTTTGAGAAATATAAAAGTTGAAAAATCGCAATTGTGCAGGGTGTCCCAAAATACCGAACTGGATTCAGGGCCCGGCACAGATCGTCTGGAAGCAGGCTGGACTTCGTTTTTGAAGCAAACAGCAAAGGGGTTATCGTTTTTGACTAGTAGGAACCGAGCATCAAGAATAAGCGCCATTTGGTCGAACACAAGCTTTCCCGACAGGTTATCACACGATTGGCATGCTCTACCGTGTGTGGCGAAAAGTGCGCGCGATTTGAAAGCAAGGCTAAAATGAAAAAATTGCTTGTTTACAGCGTACACAGAATCATATGACACCAAAATTGGACTATATGTATAGAAAATTATTTGCGAAAGATTTATGTAAAAAGATTTGAAAACTTATGTGAAGTATACCTTTTCCAAAATTAGATCGTTTCCAGACGGCCACCAGACGATCTGAGATCGTCTGGAGCATATATTTTCGTCAATTCACATAAGTTTCGGATTTTTTCAGCATGGACGGATTCCCCGGTCAAAAATCTATCACTGAGCATAAAGACATTTTCATATCATTGCTTTTCCTTTGTTTTTTGCCTTCATTTATTCTCGCTTTGTTGAATTTGCGCTCTAATGCCAAAGTCTCGTGCATGCGTAGTAATCAGCTCCAATTCACTGGATTATCACTCTTATCTCACGTCTTTTCTTTCAGACTTGTAAATCTTCCTTGTTTTCATCTTCTCCTAAGCAGCTAGGTCAAAAGGGACTTCGTAAAGCTTCCGAAAGTCAGGGGAGACTTCGTTTTCAGGAACCCTAGAAACCGACTCGTGCCGGGCCCTGACTGGATTGTACAGCTTTATCTGCATAGTGTTCGCAAACTATTAGCTTCCAAGCTGTAGGGTTGTTCAATAAGACTGGTAGTGCAAAACTAGTAGTTGAATTTTTCTTAAGATTATGGTGGAAATTTTGTTCATCTCTAGGAAACGAATGCCAATTAAATCCCGAAGGAACTGGATCGTCATAGCCAACAATGAAAAGAAAAATTCCAGTCGCTGATCCTACGTATGCAATTTGTTTACAATGCTTTCTCGTCCTGCAGTTATACCGTACCCCAAAACGGCCGTAGTTTCATGTTCTCCAAAGATTCTTATGTCCTAGAAGTCGTGTAAGGTCTATGAAACCACCTGCCGAAAAAGCCATATAAAAGTTTCCAAGTCTTCTGAAAATTTCCTAAAATGGCAGTCATTTCATCATGGCTTTGATGGTTTGAAAGTTTTCAACATACTTGCAGTAATAGCGTTCTTCATTGTTCCAAATTGAAGCGGCATTTGTGAGAATTATTCAAGAAAGTTATTGAATCGAGCACGTGGTACAGTTTTAGAGTACTAAGTGCACCAGAGTTTTTTTAAGATGTATCTTTATGTATCCTTATTTCTCCACGTATTATTTTCGATTCAGTACTTTCAGAATGTCTAGAACCTGCTGTCTCTGAGGAGAATGAAGCACAGCGTATCTCAAGACTTACCATTGGCGCTAAGGTGAGCGTATGTTGAGTTCCCTCAAATGCTAATAATATTGAAATTTTGCAATAGGTACTTGCTGCTGGAGCGAATAGCAAAAAGAATGTTGGTTCACATGTTAGTGCCGCTGGTAAGACTTCTACTATTCTTGGGCTTAAAAGCTGAATTTTGCATTTTGGGCGGTGTTGAGCAAGCAATCTACAACGCTTGCGCTGAAGGTAATCGCAGTTTTGCTCTGTTTGTGCGCAATCAACGACGATGGGATCAGAAACCAATGTTAGAGAAGACCGTTACAAAATGGTATACGGCATTAGAGGTCTGTTCTGTTTGAATGTCGATTTGCAACTTGGACAAAGAAATAAATTGATGTAGTACATCTCTTAATTGAGTGCCGCAGGTTATAGAGATCTCCAGTGCTGTTACTTTTTGAACGAGTCTATTGGGGTTTTATCTATACGGTCCGGATAATTCTTTCCATCAGTGTCAGGGGAGGGGTAGGCTGTAGGTGAAGTGCCTAAATGTGAGCCACGCTTTAGAAGAAGTAACCTCGAAAGTTCGAACATTAAGAAGAAGATCATATTTGTTCCCACGGAAAAAATGTCTCTTATATAATTTGAACATTATTTGATAGCGAGCGACTGATTTTTCCAAAAAAAAATGATTGGAAATTGCTATCTGTTCAAAGACATCTTGAAGGCAGTCCTCGACAGTATTTCGTTTTCCGAATTTTACTTTTTCGGAGCCTTTTCGCCATAAGGATCCATGTCTGGGCTTTTTAGCGCAAGATAATGGCGAAAAGAGCTTTTTTCGAACTTTCCGGAGTTGCATTCAGTGGAGAATACATGCAAGTGGGCGGGCCCGAAACGGGGAGGCGAGGCGAGAAAGATTTCCGGAACAGATTTCCGGAATTTCACCGAATGCGGAACCTGGAAAGCTTCGAAAAAAGCTCTTTTTTGCCATTATCATGCTCTGAAAAGTCCAATATGGTCTCCTCATGCCGAGAAGGCTGCAGAAGTGTGAAAAACTGCAATACGAAATTCTGCCGGGACACTGCTTTTGAAATCACATTTTCATGTCCCCTCGGATACGCATTTTCACGAGCTTTTCGTGGAGTTGTTCTGATTGTCCTTTCTGAGCTGTATACGAAAATAAGGAAGGTCCGATTTTTCTGAAGCAGTGAAAAACTATAAATACTCAAAGCTGCTCACCCATATGTGTTTTGTCTTCGAAAATATGTTTTTTTTTTGAACCTATCAGCAGTCGTTCCTAGAAATGTGCTTTGAAGCATTTGCTACGATTAGAAAATTACGATTTGCCAAGAATGAGGATTTGTTAGTTTGGTATGAGATGCGATGGAGCATTTGTTTTTTCAAATGGAAATTGTTATATATTTAGAATCAGGTAATCGGCCGCAATTCAGGTGACCGGATTTCCACTGAGTCAGATACTTCCACATGGTTCTTATCTGATGAACCCAGGCTCAGCTGATCCCGAGAAATTGGAGAAAACACGCGAAGCAATGTTGGATGAATGCAAGCGATGTGAACGTCTCGGTATTTACTACTACAATTTCCATCCAGGTGAGTTGAGCACCCAACTTCACTCTTCGATATCTCTTGTTTCTAGGCTCGACAACGGGATTATGCACAACTGAAGAATGTTGCAAAACCGTTGCCGAAACTATTGACTACATACTGGAATGTACGGAATTTATAACATTGGGTATGTGGATGTGAATGACATTTCCATCCTTTTAAATTCCTTATCTAGTAATCGAAACTATGGCTGGACAGGGCAACACGATCGGGTCAACTTTTGAAGAGATTCGCGACATCATACTCAATGCAAGTTGATACCGTTGTTGTTATCTAGTTCGAGCGATATCCTTTTTCCCATTTTTGAAGAAGCATCCCTATTAGATTGTCTAAGTTGATGTGCCCAGTTCTATGTGACAGTCTTCATTTCAGGTGAAAAACAAAAATCGTGTGGGAGTCTGCATTGATACTTGTCACATATTTGCAGCAGGTTAGTTTCTCCATGTGATGTATAGCTGTGGGAAATACGGGATTTGTTAGTGCGATGAGGGGCGGGGTTTGCCATTTTGTGCCCCAACATTTTTTGTGATTGCTAGCCTAAAAAATGCTGCTCATTTATTAAACATTTATAGGAATAGAAAAATTGCTGACCAAGTATTAGGTTGTCCGGAAATTAATGTCCGTTTTGAATTTCAACCGCAATAAGTCATACACTTCTCATTTCTATTATAGATAGTATGCAAAGTACCATCCGATAGAGCAAAGCATGCTCTACAAGACGGCAATCTTGCTTTAGCAACAGCTCTGATCCATCTCGAGTTTCAAGCCAAAAACTAAAACGATTTAACTGCTCGAAAAATCGAGAGAAATCGTAACTCTGTTCATATAAATCGTACAAAATTTGTAACTTGCCCACGTAAACACTGTCCACACAAGACATCTATACATGCCGTTGCCGTATTTTATCCTTTGTTAGTAATCAAAAAACAGAAATTCTCGTGCATTTGCCAAAGTGATGCTATGCTGTCCCCACATAGGTAGTTGTATACTACAAACCTGTAGAAGTACAAACTTAAATTTTCAGCATTGTGCAAGCTTTAGTTCTCGAGAATTATCGAATATAGCTTTCCCGAGTCAGGAGGTGCAAACTGAAATTCAGATTTCTCGAGAACTATAGCTCATAGATACAATACCGTTCACATTTTTTGAAAAATAGACGCGAATGTATGGACATGTATGGACATGTAGTGTGTCATGTACATGTCCATACATGCGTCTATTTTTCAAAAAATGTGAGCTGTATTGTAGCTGAAGATTTATGTTTGTACTTCTACAACTTTGAAGTATACAACTACCTATGTGGGGACAGCACAGCATCACTTTGGCAAATGCACGGGAATTTCCGTTTTCTTGATTTCTGACGGAGGAAAAAATACGGCAACGGCGGGTGTGGATGTCTTATGTGGACAGTGTTTACGTGTGCAAGTTAGAATTTTTGTAGGATTTTTATGAACTGAGTTAGATTTTTCTCAATTTTTCTGGCAGTTGAATCTTTTTAGACTTTGGCTTGAAACTCGAGATGGATCAGAGCTGTCGCTAAGGCAGACTGCCATCTTGTAGAGCATGCTTTGCTCTATCGGATGGTACTTTGCATACTATCTATAATAGAAATGAGAAGTGTATGACTTATTGCGGTTGAAATTCAAAACGGACATTAATTTCCGGACAACCTAATAGATGGAATTTGTTTCAATTTCCAAGTTGATCATGACTCATGTGGATACGTGGTGGTCAAACAGTTCAGTAATCACCAACAAAAAAAACCTCTCACCCTAGATTACCAAGCGTACTGTATAAATTTTTTTGATGTGTGCTCAGAGTTCCTTCCCAAGTTCTTTCTTTAGGCTACGATATTCGCACGCAAGAAACATACAACGAAACTATGGAGAAGTTTGATAGCATAATAGGTTTAAAGTACCTAAAAGCATTTCATCTTAATGACTCTAAAGGTAAGCGGTTCATTCAGGCATTGAATTTCAAAATTTCATCATTTCTAGGAGCTCTTGGTTGCCGTGTCGATCGGCACGAAAAGATAGGCAGAGGTAAGATTGGGAAGAAAGGATTTAAGTGCATCATGGAAGACGAGAGGCTAGATGGTTTACCACTAATTCTCGAAACTCCCGAAGGAGACTACCCACAGGAGATGATAACACTTTATTCACTGTGACTGTCTTGAGTCCTACGCAGCGTAGTTGCTTAACTTTTCTCTGCTGGGACGATTAGGAGATCTCCCTCAACTTATCTCGGTCTCCATTGCACATTCACCCCTGCTTTGATCTAAAGTTGTTAGATTTTACTATTTTCAAAAGATTGCCTCATTAGTTGAGTTTGTTTTTTGAGTTTGCTTTACCACGACAATGTTGACCGCTAGAAGGTGAAGTATCTCTACTGTTGATTTGGACATTACCTCGTTAGATCTATTGTTGTTTTATTCTGTGATTTTTGAAGTCGTTTGATGAAATTGGAGAATCAGAGTCTATAACAAAATATGAGTGCGATACTCATTCAAAACAATTATTCATTCGAGAGTAACAAAAAAAGAAAAACTCTTTGAGCCTCACTCTTACTACAGCTTACGATTTTAGGAACCGCTCCGTAGAACCGGCTTAAGGTTCTCCAGAATGGGGATCGGGTTCGCGGATTCTCGATTTCATAGTCGAAATCAGGGACACGAGAAGACTAAAATATGGAAGTCGAGAATCTGGTTGAATGGACCTTTAAGAAATGACTTTTTTCTAGCCACGAATGGTTCATTAATAAGCTTTGTCGTGGGCAACGAATTGGTAGGGTCTCCCAATCTTTTTGCACATGAACTTTTCAGGTACCAGACTAGCCGCTCTCTTAGACTAAAATCCTGCAGATTAGCTTGCATCCTATGTTTCGAATCTATTACTAGGCTTTTTTCCATTTCTCACTGCTTGGGACGCATCTGGTGTTGTCATTCAGTAGGATAATGGGATGATGATGACGACTAGCTAGAGGATAAGCTGGTGTTTTTGGATATAGCCCTACTCGTTCTTCTTTCTCTACTGTTCGATTGCAACGATTCTATATGCAGTCTATTTTATCTCTGATATGCAGTTTATGGCCCCAGACAGACTTCACGCGATTTGATCGTCGCGACTGAATCGCGACGAGACAACTGTTACAACGTCACTCCATGCCGATCAACTTGCATTTCGGTTGTGATACTTTTCCAGCCCGAAATTTTTTAATGTGAAATGAAAATGAGTGGAAATGTTGGCGATTGAGTCGCGACGATCAAATCGCGTGAAGTCTGTCCGGGGCATATCTTATCTCCGAAAGTTAGCTTGCATCATTTGTTATCATGATCTACTAGGTCTTGAGTAAAACTCCCCAGCACTTCGAGTTAGGTTTTGTTGGCTCAAAAATTCAATTTGAAAATGTCACTGTTCTATGGTTAAAGGATGTCACTGTTCTATGGCTAAAGGAAAGTCGACTTTTCAAAAAGTACCGGAAGTAGCATTAAATTCCAATTCCATATCGTTTTGGTTAGTTGCCCGATCTTAGACTATGCACGGTTGGAAAAACAAGACGTATCGAACTCGGTTTATATAGTTGCTGGAATGTATTAAGTTGGGACGAAATCGCTGTCGTCTCAATTTTAACAACATAACTTCTGATTTTCTTAATGGATCTTCTGGTTTCTATTTCTCTACGGGAAGTCAAATCAAGCCCTTCACATTATCTGTGAGGGCGAGCACATATTGCACAAATAACGGTAAAAATTTTCGAATTGCCATCTTGTGTTATGTCGTGATTGAGACTTGCAATAAAAATGGGTGAGTAGTATGTGAGTGTCATTACCTGCTCTTTCTGAGCGAAAAAGTTTGCGCTAGTTGTACATTCTAGGCGAAGCTATGATCCTTACAATGGAAGGTCACAAATTCGAAGTGACCGGTAATTACAGACTACATACCATTATGTCTAGAATGCTGATTCCAAATTTCCAGTTTCATTACTTGTGGAGCTTCTTTGGAAAAGCAGTTATGAGCATTTTTCGAGACGAAAAAATAATTTGTGGTTGGGATAAAATTAATGCTACATCCTTTATAGACGCTATGTGGAGAAATATGAAGTACTGATATGCTAGGCGGGAAAAGTTTATTGGATGGAGTATGCTGACACTTGCCGATGTTTCATTTAACAGAGAGGGCATCGATTTATTAGGTCGTTCCGAAAGTAATGTCGCTTTTTTCGAATGAACGCCACTATTGGTGGAATCAACATTTTCAAGAGATCTTAGGAGCAAGCAGCATTTCATCCTCTTTCTATGCAGGATTTCATCCTCTTTCTAACGGTCCTAATTTCACTGCATAATGTTTAATGAGCTCTCGAAAAATTACCAAAATCTGCGACTCATGCTTTTTGCCATGGTCAAGTTCGGCTATTTTTCTAAATTTTTATACCTTATCTTCAAAAAAGTACAAGTGGCAGGTAGATAGAGCAAACACTATAGAACACAGCTTAATTTTTTCTTTTCCTTAGCTTGCTTCTCAGAGTTTCTACAATCAATTTCTCAATGCCATCAGATTCCATATTTAGTCAAGTCAAACCTCACAGAATAACAAACGGCAAGCGACTCGGGTGTCATTCGATGCAGCTTTTTCTCCTCTTTTTATCAATTATTTTTGGTTTCCGATTCATTAAGTTTTCCGAGATAAAATCATCATAATTTAACTTTTCCAAGGCACCCCAGGGTGTACCCGAAATTTTGCTAAACCGAATCGGTGAATGCTCATTTGGCTTGTAAAATTGTCGCCAAACCATAATCCACCTTTATAAGTTTCAAAATCCGAAGACTTGTTGGCGTTTGATGCACTTGTGTCTGAGACGAGACTGCTAAAATTCGATGGTTCCATCAAAAAATCTGTACAAAAATTATGACGAGCTCTGGAAAGTAGAAAAAAGCTGTGCTGTTTCCTGTAGGGTTTGCTCCATCCATCCTTTACCTGGGCTCCTTCTGGGGTTTGTTATAAAATACAAACTCTCACTAATAATCCGACCTCAGGTTTTGCGAGTTTATGATTTTCTGCGGCGAAGCACAGAAAAAAAAAATTTAATCAATTTTCTTCTCTCATTTTTATGTGTGCATTATACACTCGCTCGAAGCATTAACAAATTATATAGAGAGCCTGATCAACTCCTTTGAAGAATTAGGAGCAAGTTCTGTTCAATTCATTAATCAAAATTTGGCTATTCATAAGTTCCCTTTTGAAATTCCACCTCCACAAGTCGCCTCTTGCTCTATAAATGAGCCTGGATACCTTCGATAGCAGTGCCGGCTTTACAAAGTGACGTCCAAATGTTCACATACAATTTGTCCCGCATTTAATTTTCACCAAAATTTGAAAAATTTGAAAAATCCAGGAACTCGAAAAAAAACGGGTTCTGTCTGGAAACTTTCTGTTGGCCCCAACTCACGCATAGACACTATTTATCTAACATGTACACTTTTTGTATTTTTTCACCGCCAAACTGAGCAAACGAAAGCTGGAAAGTTTTTTTCAAACAATGCCGGGCTGCTTCCATAGATAAATCACCATAACCATTGAAGTAGATAAGTTTTAGCCTTTTGTAAGCGTTTCCGAGAAACATCAAATTTAGCAAAAATCCCTCGAAACGACGTTTTCGTATTTTCGGCGTGTTGCTGCTTCTTGATCTTCAGACAAGATAAATTGCAACAACTGCTTATATAATTGCCTTGTATAGAAAGTATATGCCTGGGCAATTTGGGGATCCATAGAAAATTTGTCCTCAGAGACCTGAATTTTTTCGAGTTCGGGCTCAAATTTCCCTTGGCCATAGTTTGCACTGGAACTGGCTTTCTGCAAAAGTTTGAACGCGACCTTGTAGGGCTTGCTTTATTCTGTCGAAAGGTGCCTGGAGTTCAAGAGCAAGAAGTATATGACTTATGAGTTGAAATTTCAGATTTGTATGTGGGACAATTTAATTATGATACAGTGAACGTCTGAAGGGTGTTACGTGTCCTTATGCTTCCCTTATTTTTTTTTGGCAGATATGGTAATCACGTTTACGTATACTATCGAGCATTGCCTTATAAGTAGGTATCACTGCTTTTTTCAAAACAGTCCCTGAAAATATTCCAAATTCAGCGCTTGGCATGATCATTTGCCCCTTGACTAGTGTTGGGTATGTACCCTTGGATTTTGCTTATCTCAATTAATTCCTGTTTAAGTCTTACTACTCTATAAGGTATAATGCTAGCTTTCTAACGAGGGAGAGTTCCCAAGTCAGCTCGGCCAACCCGGATGAGTCATATATCACCGTAACGGGCTTGAAACGCTGATTCCTCTGCTTTCCTTTTCTGGCGGAGCGGCTTTCCGAGAGAAGTTATGAGCGTTCAAAAGTCTAAATTTGTCATGTTTTAAGTGGCTTAAAATTGGCGAAGCCTGTACAATAACACATGAAAGTGATTTATCAGTTCTGTATCAAGTATATTGATTACAGGGACGGAACACAGATAATGAAATTCCAGTAGGTGTTGTTTTACAGCTTTCAAATGATTTTGAGCTACTTTGAACATGACAAATTTAGACATTTAAACGCTCATAACTTCCCTCGGAAAGTTGCTCCGCAGAAAAGGAAAGCAGATTTGAAATTAGCGTTTCAAATCCGTTACGGTGATATATGACTCATTCGGGTTGGTCGAGCTGACTTGGGAACTTTCCCTTGTAAGATATCTAGGGTAAAACTGCGACTTCGACAAGAAAAACGCTTCTGGCGGTCAGTTCTGATTCACTTTTCCATGTTTTCTGCATCTTACAGCTTCACCATCACCATGAAAGCACCATTCTCGGAATCGGCATTTGAAAAACGTATCCTGATATCTTTTATTATCAAATCTATTAAGAATTGTAGACAAGTGAACTCATCGTATAGCATTTGTGATTGTTTGAAACTTCCATACTAGTGACGGAGCTCTACATAGTATGGTAATGAATGCTTTTTCATACTGCAAATGCCATTCATCTGCCGCTTTTACCGGCTTGATGGGGGATTGAATGGCTATTTTTAGCAAATTAAATCCAACGCAATTCTACGAGATCTTCGGTAGTGAAATGAAATGCATTTGATTCTGTATTTCACATCGTATTTTGTCAAAATTCAACTGTCAAAGGTATTTTCTTTAGCTTAAGTATTTTCATCTTGTTGAAGGCTTTACCAACGAAAGCAGACATTTCATTATCTCACGAAAATCTGATAGTAAGCGTAGGCGAGGAGAAAACACAGGGCTGTGCTTACAGCGCAGTCACTATCTGCTTTATTTATCTGGAGACTCAGTATTCGCTGTTCCTCTTCTGAAACAGACCCAAAGATAGTGATACGAAAAAGTTCCGGTCGTTTTTGGCTGAAAATAGAAATCACATTATTCACTTCATCTCATTGTCACAGAAAATTCATGCTGGAAGAAAGACAAGGATATGGTGAGCAAGGCTAAATTGCACCTTCAGAGT